GCGGCTGCTCAGCTCGGGCTGGACTCGAACCGCTGTTGCTCAGAGCTCAAACTCTTGAGCGAGCTCTTAACCAACTGAGCCACTCGGCCGGCTCTGGTCATTATTTCTTAATAGTTTTGTCTGTTCTTCCCTTCAGGGACTCTGATTACTAATGGTCAGGCAGCCTGAAATAGTCCCACCATTCACTGACACTGTTTATTGGGGGGTGGAGGGGGGGGTCTTCCTCCATGAGTTTATTTAACTTCATTAATTTTCTGCAATGTTTAATCTGCCTGTAATCCCATATAGTATATTTTTCATTTCAGATACTATTTTCACCTCTAGAAGTTCAATTTGAATCTTGTGTTTTTATACTTGATGCGTTCGGTCTTTTCCTTTGGCTTCTTGCCTGTACGCAGTGTGGTGAAAATACTTTTTCCTGTGTGCTTGGCTTGCCGTTTCTCACGTGTGTCATTCCTGGGTGGTTTTCTATTGTCTTATCCTGTCGTGGGCTGCTTTTTACTGTCCATTTGCATGTCCAGTATTTCATTATGTCAGACATTATGAAGTTTACTTTTGTGGATGCTAGATAATTTTGTGTTCCTATAAATACCTTTGTACTTGAAGTTACTTCAAAACAGTTTGCTCCTTTCTGGACTTGGGTTTAAGGCTTACTAGGTGTGATCATGGCAGTGCTTGTTCATCCGGGGCCCGTCCTTTCCCGCTGTGCACTGAGAGCCTCCTGAGAACTGCCCAGGGCCTTAGTGTGGATGGCTGACGGATCCACGGGCTGGGCCCTGTGCCCTTCCGCCTTCCAATGGTTCTCCCCATGGCCCAGGCAGCCGCCCTCCATGTGTCAACATGGGAGCTTCTCTCCATGCTCTCTTTCTTGGGATCTGAGCCGCCAGCTCCAGGCACCTTGGTCTCCCCGGACTATCAATTTTGTGTCCTTGACGCACGAGCTCAACCAGGGGGCAGTCATAGGGCTCACCTTGCTTGTTTCCTGCCCCCCGTATCCTGAACGGCATTGTTTCATGTGGGAGGAAAATCCAGTCTCTGGAGGCAGAGTCTCTGTTTATGGGGTTTTAACAGGAAAGCTTGACCCGTATGCATCTGGGATGAGGCTGCGCTGCCTGCAGCAGAGAAGCGCTGACGAGGCACAGTGCTGTGTTACGTCTGATATCACGGCTCCCCGTGTACGCCATGTGCGTGCACCTCACATGCACGCCCGCAGGCCCCGCTTCACAGGCATGTGCTCCCAGGCTGTGGCTTACCCCTCCTCTAGTCCTTGCTTGTCATGCAAAGCATGGTCCGCATGATGTGTGCTTCCAGGCCAACATAGCCGAGGTGGAGGTCTCGATCCCAGCCAAGCTGCACAACTCGCTCATTGGCGCCAAGGGCCGCCTGATCCGCTCCATCATGGAGGAGTGCGGGGGCGTCCACATTCACTTCCCTGTGGAAGGTTCCGGAAGCGACACGGTTGTCATCAGGGGTCCTGCCTCAGATGTGGAGAAGGCCAAGAAACAGCTCCTACACCTGGCAGAGGAGAAGGTAAGCACCACCCGGAAGGTCAGTGTGTTTGTTCTGTGCTGGAAATGTCCTCTCTCTTCATGGTGGAAAACTCCCACCTTTGTGGCAGGCCTGGACACTTCAGATACCTTTGGCTCTTTCCCCGTCCAATGCCCACATGTACGATGCAGGAAAAGTATGATGTATATAAAGTAAAAGCTGCCCTTCTTAGTGTGTAGTTATGGCTTTTGATGAACATATATTCATGTGACTGCCACTGCAAGAAAAATGTTTTGACCATCACCCCCCAAATTCTTCAGTGAATCACCTTTGTCATAGTCCACCTGCTGGTCTGTCTCTGGACTCTGTTCCATCCCTGCAGCTCCACAGGTGGGAATGGCTGGCTGTCGGCGAACCCTTCAGCTTTGTGCTCTTTTGTGCTCTGGCTGTTCTAAATTCTTGCCTTTCCAAAAGCACTTTGGAACCAGCTTGTCCATTTCTAGAGGGAGAAAACCCTGCTTGGATTTTGATTGGGATTACCGTATTTTGCTGTGTATAATGCGCACCGCGTTTTTAACCCAGACTTTCGGGGGGGGGGAATCGTTTTAATTTTTTAATTCAAATTTTTTTATTTGTTTACATTTAGGTATTTTTTTGTATTATTAAAGGAATTTTAGTATTTTTTTAAACATATTATGGTACAAGAAATTTTATGTAACAAATAATTACAAAACACAAGAACAGAGATACAAGGTACTAGACATTTTATGTTTAGGCATAATCATAGAAGCCAAGAATTCTTCGTTGTTGCAAGTTCATCCTAACTTCAACAAAACCGATTATCGTTTTCCAGGGTATTATTTTGCACATGGATATCATTACTGATTTCTAGAGTTACACTTTTTAACTCAAGCATAAATAAAAGAATTAAAAACATTTATACAGATAGGAATTAGTACTACCCATGTATAATGCGCACCCTTATTTTTCCCTTCACAAATTTGGGCCAAAAAGTGCGTATTATACACAGCAAAATAAGGTATGTTGAAGCTCAAGATGAAACTGGGTGAACTGAGATGCGCTGTTTGAATCTGCCACTCTGTGTTCCAGGTTTGTTTGTTGGGTTTTTTTGTTGGGAAGTGAGGGAAGGGGACAGTCAAGTTGTTGTCCTTCAGTCTTAGTTCTGGAGGGCGCAGCTAGCTCAGCTCCAAGCCCAGTTGCCATCTGCCGCCCATTGGCACCTCGCAACTGCTCAGCTCAAGGTGCTCAGCTCAAGGTGCCGTGTTCAATTTTGGTTGTGGGGGGGGGGCGTAGTCCACCATCCCATGCGGGAGTCGAACCGGCAACCTTGTTGTTAGCACGTGCCCTCACCAGCTGAGCCATCCTGCCACCTGTTGGCAGCTCAGGCACAGCTCACTGGCCCATGTGGGAATCCATCCGGCTCGGAGCTCGTGCTCGTAACCAGCTGAGCCACTCAGCCAGCCCTGTGTTCCAGTTTTAAGTCTGGCTTCTCATTGATTGGTATTTATAGTTTTTAGCACACAGACCTTGTTCATTTTAATTTATGTCTTTTGTTTTTAGAGATGTTATACATGGTACTTCTGTAATTCATTTTGAGTTTAAGTTATTGAGCGTTGGAAACGGATTTGATTTGTGTATATTTGTTTTCTGTGTCTGGTCCAGAGCTCACACTGATAGTCCCAATAGCTATTTCAGGGGGTTCTTGTGAGTTTTCCTTTATGTAAAGCACATCACCTGTGAGTGGACAGTGTGTTTCTTCTGATTGTACACGCATGTCTCGTCTTACCATGTTGCTCGGGCCCCTGCTGTGCTGATAGCAGTGGTGAGAGCAGACGGTCTGGCTTTGTGGATCAACTTGGGAGGTGCTGAGCCCTCCACCATCTCCTTATGCGTGGGCAGCCGGTTTCTTGCAGATGCTGTTTATCAGGGACGGATGTTCCCTTCTGTCCCACATTTGCTGAGAGTGTTTATTGGCGGGGGGGGGGTGTTGGATCTCGTCAAGGTTTTTTTGCATCTGTTGGCATGATCCCATGGTTTCTCTGGTGTATATATTAGATTGATTTTCCGTTTTTAATGTTTCACCAACTTTGCATTTGGGGGTGAGCCCCACTTACTTAGGATGTGTTGTCCTTCACCGTGTTGCTGGATGGGGCCCGCCTAACTCGTTAGCTTTTTAACAGCGCTGCTGTTCATGGATGTCTGTCTGGATGGTAGAAGAGTCTCTCGGTGGTGTTCGTGAAAGCGGCCCCTAAGGAGAACAGAATCACTTGTTCCCTGATTAGCATGCTGGCAGACCTTCTTTTCCTGTGTTCCTCCTCCTTTGTGTGGGCCCCGTTTCAGGACCAGAGGAAGGAGAAAGAGCACTGTGTGCGTCTGAGTCAGCCTGAGGAGTGTGCTCCCAGGTGACCCTGCCAGAGGAGCTGGCACCTGCCGCGAGGTCCTGTGTCAGGGCCTTTCCTGGACTTTCCTGGTGTCAGATGAGGGCCCTGCTTGGCCCGGGCCTCTCTGAGCTTGAGATGGGGGCATTGCTGGCTCTGTGTGCGCTCTACTAGGGTTCGAGCAGAGGGAGAGCTGGACGGGGTGCGCTCTGCTTGTGTGGGGAGCAGTGGGAGTGCCCATGCCTGGGAGAGAGGCCAGCAGTGCTGTGCAGGTGCACCCCACTCCCACAGCACGCGGCCACACTGCCACGTACTAGGGTTCTGTGTCTGCATGCTCTGAACCGTCTTGGTATCTCTCGTCACGGTGGACAAAAGTACAAGGACGGTCTCTTTGGGTGGCCTGCCATCGTTTGTTTTGGTGAGGTTTGATTAGCTCCACTCAGGGGACATTGGTGACAGTGTGAGGTAAGCTCCACCCCACACTATTGTCCTCTATGCTGGCCTATTCACCTGCTCAGGCCCAGGCAGGTGGCGTCAGGCCAATGTACGTGGGTTGTTTCTGCAGCAAACCAAGAGTTTCACCGTTGACATCCGCGCCAAGCCTGAGTACCACAAGTTCCTCATTGGCAAAGGGGGTGGCAAAATCCGCAAGGTGCGTGACACCACAGGAGCCCGCATCATATTCCCAACGGCTGAGGACAAGGATCAGGACCTGATCACCATCATGGGGAAAGAGGACGCTGTCAGGGAGGCCCAGAAAGAGCTGGAGGCCCTCATCCAGAACCTGGTAGGCTCCCTGGGCCTTGGCTGCTCATTCTTTTGGGTGCGGTTGGCGGGGTCTTGACTTCCATTGTCCTGTCTTCATGCTACAGGACAACGTGGTAGAAGACTTCATGCTGGTGGATCCCAAGCACCACCGTCATTTCGTTATCCGAAGAGGCCAGGTCTTACGGGAGATTGCTGAAGAGTATGGTGGGGTGATGGTTAGCTTCCCGCGGTCCGGCACACAGAGCGACAAAGTCACCCTCAAGGGTGCCAAGGACTGTGTGGAGGCCGCCAAGAAGCGCATCCAGGAGATCATCGAGGACCTGGTAGGCGCTTGGGAGGCTCGTGGGGTTCTCCGCCCACCGGCCACTCTGTAGAGCCGGTGGGTAGGCACTCCCCACGCCCCTCAGGCAGCAGGCCAGTGTTGCGCAGCCCTGAGGTGGCCTCTGGCCCTCAGCCTGCCCGGTCTCTTTCCTGACGGTGGGTTGGGAAACGCTGCCTCTGAGAAGCAGCTTAGTTTTTCATTTTATAAAAGTACAGTGTGTACAAGGAACCAGCTTCCTTGTCTCGTCCTCTTCTCCAAAGGGAAGCAAATAGATTAAGGGAGAGAGTGTCCGAGCGACTCCCTGAAAAAGTCACACAAACGTGCTGGCTTTCTAAACCCACCTTGGGAGAGCATTGCCCTCCTCCATGCGCTCTGGGAAGCACCTTCTGGTAACCAGGGCTGACTCGCCACGTCCAGTCAGAGCCACAGCGTGGCCACCGGCCAGCTGGGGGGAGAAGGGGCCCTTTGTGCATAGAGAAATCGGGTGTTGTTAACGTTCCACTTCTGGGTGGCAGCAGACATCAGGGCAGTTACGTACAGACACATCACTGATTCGTTTTGTCCGTCTTCTGGGGGAAACACTTGAGAAAGAGGCCTCCCTTGGCCCTGCCCATGGCCCTCCCCCCTCCGGGGAGCTCTGGGTTCACCGTGGGAAAAGGGGGCGCCTGTGCTCTTGGCAGGGGCTGTGGAGGATGAAAAGGAAGACGGTGTGAACCTGAGTGGCCGTAAGCAGTTAACCTTCACTTTTGTCTTTGTCCTTCTCGCTGTGCCCCCCCTCCCAGGAAGCCCAGGTGACCATAGAATGCGCCATACCCCAGAAATTCCATCGATCTGTCATGGGCCCCAAAGGCTCCAGAATCCAGCAGATTACTCGGGACTATAATGTTCAGATTAAGTTCCCGGACAGAGAGGAGAACCCAGGTGTGTCCCCGCGGTGCGCTCTGTGCTGGGTGGGAAGCAGGAGGTGTGGGAATGGTCCCAACCCAGGTTGAGGTGGTTGTCATGTGTCCTGGTGAGGGGCTTTCCTGCCTGCTGCGGCACTGGAACACCATCACGTGTCCTGGGGGCTGCCAGAGGCTCAGGCTCAACCCCTGGCCTCCAATCAGGGGCAGCATCTGTTGCTGCAGGGAAACGAGGTTCCCTTCAGGTGTTCTGGAGGCTTGCAGCTGGTGACAAGGCCCGAGGAGAGCACGCAGGGGAAACCCTGAGTTCAGTGCCGCCACTCATAGGGCCTCTGAAAGCGAGGGGACAGGGCTGCATCCACCTTGTCCACAGCAGAGGCTTCATTCCCCCAGCCGCCGCCTCTGTGGGCCATGTCCCTCGTGAGGTCAGTCGGCTGCAGAAATAAAGGAAGCCACTCACCCGCTGGAGGACACCATCTCAGTGGCTGGCTGCCCTTCCAGGACGGCCCTTCCGCTACAAGTACCCTTCATGTTACCGGGTTCTGCTTGTGTCCCCTAGGACAAGACGGGGTGGGGCGGGGAAGTGACCTGCAGGAACGGTTGCTATGAGCAGGACCTGGCTGTTGGCTCAGACCAAGCTCTGTGTGTCCTGATGCTGCGTGCACTGGCACGAGAACGCGCTCTGCCCTCTGCGGACCAGCCTTAGTTGGTCGTCCGGCTGGCAGACCTGCCTCTGCCAAGTGTCCTCCGTGAGCTCTGGCCTCTGTGCAGCTGATCATGCCCTTGAGCGCCTCTGTTTCAGGCTATTTTGAGTAGAAAACCAGTTATATCATGTCACATGTACATTTGAATGCTTTTTAATTTGATGTAGTTTCACACTTAAAAAAAATTGCTCAGAATTTATTAAGATAAATCCTGAAGACTCATCCATACTCACTAGTTTTTACACAAACACATACATGCAGGTTTTTTTCTGAATCGTTTGAGTGTAATTTTCAGACCTATCTGTTACCCATAGTGGCTATTTCCTTAGAATAAGGACACTTTCCTATGTTATTTGAGATAACCATAGCATGTTCATCAGAATCTGAAAGTCTAATTATGTGATACTGTTACTGAAGACATAGTTTACATTCAAATTTTGCCAGTTGTAAAAGCATCCTGCAGAGCTCACCTCTTTCCCCAATATTTTTTTGAGAACTTTTTTGAGTTTGAGTCAAACTGTTAACATTGTTGGGAAGCAAGATCTCAAATGCTCTCTTTCCCCAGTTTTGACCCAGGATCGTGATGGCTGCAGGCAGTCGTGCCTGTGTTCTTACTCGCTTATTTCTACCATATGGACTCCTGGGTTCTCACACCAGGAATGTTTTCGTGGTTATTTTGCTGTGCACCTGCTCTCCAGTGTGGCCCATGGGAGCCCCATGGCTTCTGTGTCCTATCTCATGTCTCTTCATTCTTGGTGCTTTCTTCCTTCCTGGCATGAGAAGCTGGTGCAGCTCACCTTGTCCCTCCTGTCTCTGAAGCTTCCTCTGGCCACCTGGTCCCAGCGTCAGGCCTCCTGGGCCATCGGAATGTCCATCCTTCCCTCCCACACACAGTGGCTCTTCCCACACACCAGTTCACATATCTCACTTCATCCTCCGCGGTAGTTAGTTCCATGTTCAAGGTCAGGAAGTGGGGCACGGAGCTCATGGCCACGCTGGAAAGACTGCAGTGCCCACCCAGGCCAGGCCTGTGCCAATTGCCCCATCTCTGCCCCTAGTTCACAGCGCACAGCCAGCGGTCCAGGAGAATGGCGACGATGCCGGGGAGGGGAGAGAGGGCGACCCTGGCTCTCCAAAGAGGTGTGACATCATCATCATCTCTGGTCGGAAGGAAAAGTGTGAAGCCGCCAAGGAAGCCCTCGAGGTATGTGTGGCCCTGTCCCCTCCCTGGGGCGAGGCATGGTCTGAATGATGCTGCCCTAGTGGCTGGCAGCAGTTGAGTGGATCTAGTCACTTTTGTCCTTACCCCTGAGGGTCGTGGAGGAAGCAGAGCTGGTGGGTGAATGTGACCTCCAGTCTCAGCGGCCCTGTCTGAAGTGGGGGGTATCCAGTGATTACTTGGAGTGCCACCTCCGGGTTGGGCATGTCCTAAATGCACTATGACAGTGGACAAAATAGTTACTGCCTTGGAGTGGAAGACCAACGAGAACCAAGATGACCACATGGCAAGGGATTCAGTGCTGTGGGGGAAGTTGGGGACGGGGGTGGAGACAGCAGTGCCTGTGTCCTGTTGTCATTGTCCCAGTGACCTGCGTAGGTTTGGGCCACAGCCCATTCTTGACCTCGGTGGGGCTGGAGTCAGGGTGAGCCTCTGCGTGTGAGCCCCCTCCTTCCCCATGGGCTTCGCACCCTATTTTTTCCTGGATTTCTTTTGGTTCTGTTTGGTTAACTTGCCACAGAGGCTTGGGGCCAGGACCCAAAAGTTTGCTCTGCCGGCATTGACCTAAACACTGGGTTCCTTGTCCTTTTCCCATGCGTTTCTGTTGAGTCAGTGGTGTTCTCAGCCTCGGTGGAACAGTGTGGAAGGTTCTGGAAGCACAAATTCTCACAGGGCTCTTCTCCCTGTGCCCCATGAAGACCTTTTGCTGGGCCCACGGCATCACTGCCTACTCTTCTCAGGCCTTACTCTGTCTTCCGCAGGCGCTGGTCCCTGTCACCATTGAGGTGGATGTGCCCTTTGACCTTCACCGGTACATCATCGGGCAGAAGGGGAGCGGGATCCGCAGGATGATGGATGAGTTTGAGGTGACACGGTCTCGCAGGCCCTTTCCCGGGGGGCCGGCTGTGGGGTGTGAGCTCTGTCGCGGGTGTAGCTGGGAGTGGACGGGTGCAGCCCTTCTGGGTGCAAGGTCCCGCCCGCTACGTCCCATAGCAGAGGCGCCTTCCTCCTGCTCTTGGTCAGCAGCAGCTCCCTCCTCCCACGGCGGGGACACTTCCTGCCCTCCTCGTCCTGAGCCTGCAGATGTGTCGCTGGCCAAATGTGATAGGCCATTGATGATGACTTCCAAGCTCACGCTTGGTGGGGGCCAGATAGACACACTCCCGTCCTGAGGGTGCCTGTCTCCACCTAGGTGAATATCCACGTCCCAGCCCCTGAGCTGCAGTCCGATGTCATCGCCATCACAGGCCTCGCTTCAAACTTGGACCGGGCCAAGGCCGGGCTGCTGGAGCGCGTGAGGGAGCTGCAGGCGGAGCAGGAGGACCGGGTGAGTGCCTGGCAGCCGGCCATAGCGCCACCACTTAACGGGGGGTTGGGGGTAGGCCCATCTATCCGGTCAGGCAGTCAGCGTCTGGAGAGCTTGCTGAGGGGCGGCCCTTCAGCAGCAGTGTTAGGAGCAGTGACAAAGCTAGCAATTTCTTCAAAGGGAAACCTGGGGACTTGGAGCCCTGAAGCCCTCAGGGAAGGTGAGCTGTTGCCCGGAGAGATCCCCAAGCACGTGTTGCGTGGTCCAGGGTGGGTGTTAGGCCCCCACGGATGTGTGGCCTTTCTGTCGAGGGGGGTGAGAACCCGCCTCGCCTGTCGGGAGCGCTGGCCTTGGAAGGCCCGAGTGATGGTGGCAAGGCGGGTGTCCTGGGGACGGGAAGCACCTTGGGGACCGTGGGGAGGAGCCGGTGATGGCGCTCAGCTCATAGGCTCCCCGCAGTCCGAGTGTGTTCCCACGGCTTTCGAGTCTGTCCTCTGCCCTGGCCACAGACATCCCGGGCTGTGTCTGTCCCTTAGCACTTTTGTCCCCTCTTTTTTTGTCCTGCTTCCGTGCCCCAGGCCTGGGAGGGCCAGAGCGTTTTTATGCTCCCTCCTCAGACGCATTTCCCAGGTTAGGAGAAGGGAGCCACTCTCACAGGAGCAGGCGGCTCAGCCTGCTACCCGGCCGGGCGGGCCCTTCTCTGAAGGGCCTGTGGACGAGGCTGTGGAGTGGGCAAGGCCTCTGGGTCTCATTTGCCGTAATGGAACGTGGTGCTGAGGCTCGCCAAACAGCCATGTCTTGTTTTTGTTGCCGAGGTAACAGTGGATGCGTTCTAGGCCCAGGTTGGAGTGGGGGCTGGCGGACGCCTGTGACAGTGAGGGTCAAGACGGAAGTATTGTAGCCTTTGCCTCATTCTCATTGTTTCATCTGTAGGCTTTAAGGAGTTTTAAGCTGAGCGTCACCGTTGACCCCAAATATCATCCCAAAATTATTGGGAGAAAGGGGGCAGTGATTACCCAGATCCGATTGGAGCATGATGTCAACATCCAGTTCCCTGATAAGGACGATGGGAACCAGGTAAGGAAGACCACAGAGGCAGACACCCCATTGGCGCACTCTGGGGACCTTTGTCCTGATCTGGGGACAGTGGCTAGGCAGACTTGTGCCCAGATGGGTGGTGAGAGAGCAGGGTTCAGAGAGGCTTCGAGAGTCTGGGTTTGGCTTGGGGTTTGGGCCCCATGTGGGCCCATGCTGGCTGAGTGAGGTTACCCTGACATGGTTGTGTCACTGTGTGGACTTGGGGCCTTTTTCCTGTGCCAACCTGGTCACGTCTGCAGCAGGGTGAGCCCTTGTTGCTCCCAGCAGGTGAGCTGAAGGGCTCTGGCTGGGCCCTTCCTGCACAGACTTCCTCGGGGTGGAGCCCCGCAAAGGTGCACCTTCCACCCGCTCACTGCGTCGCGTGTCATTTGCCTCATGGTGGAGGCCAGAGCCTCACTTCACTGCTGAGCTGGGCGCACCAGGCCGGTCCCTACCACCCACTGCCCCTCCCTGGCCACCACGCAGCCCACCACATACCCTGCCGACTGTCTTAACCTCTTGGACCTCTGCCCCTGGTCTCAGCCTCTGGGAGGTGGGCTGCCCTCCAGCACGGCTGTGCACATAGTGGGAGCCTGGTCTCCGCTGGCTCTTGTGCAGTCTTTCGTACACAGCACAGTACCCAGAAATGCTTCACTAGAGCCTTCTGGCCAGCACACCTTGACAAGGCCTATGCAGACCGATCCCCTGCACCTTCCCAAGCCTGCATCTGTGTCGTGGGGGCCTTGGGAGGCTGCCTACCTGCCGTGCCTGGGCTGTCGCTGGCTTTGCATGTCCTGGGTCTTTCCAGAAGCAAGTGTTCTCTCTGCCCCCTAGTCCTAGGCCCTCCCCAACTGCGGTCTTTACCGTGCTTCTCCTGGTAGCTGTTTCTAGAGGATATGTTTGTCCTGCAGACTGAATCAATCGTCTTGAGAATTCAGCTCTCTTAAATCCCTCAGTTTCACTACTGTGTATTTTCTTCAACTTTCACATATAATTAACGTTTTTTAGTCATTATTTAATGTTGGGACTATTAACATCCTGTGGGAACCGTGCTTCGTTTGCAGTCTGTCTTGTCTTGTGCCCGCCATGCCTTTAGAGATGCCTCACCAGCCGTGGGGGGTTCTGAGCTGGGCCAGGCCGCCTCCCCCAGCCTCTGCATTTGCTTTGCCTGGACGGGAGGCGCTTGGCGGTGTCACTCGAAGTCCCTGGGGTTTCTCTTGCTTCTCCCCAGGGTGGGTCTTTACGCTCCTGTTCTTTCATTCCAATTATTTATTCTTATTCTCTCATGCTTTTACATTGTCTTCTGTTCCTTTTTTGTGGGTATAATATTTTCTCCTGTCCTGAAGAATATGATTTAACATTGTTATTTTGTTTTCAAGTTTCCTTCTCTGTGCTTTGAACACGCCATTTGCTCTGCCCACTCTTTACATCCAGGGCCCTCTCCCGTACCTTTGTATGGTTGTGGGGAGGCGCTGGGCCAGGGTGCACTCTAGGTGCGGAGTGCCGGCCATGGTGTCTGGACCTTCCAGGTCATTCGGTCTCCAGGCAAGGGGTCCGAGGGGACCTTCCCTTACCCCGAACCCTCACCCACCAGTGTCTTCCTGTCATCTCTGTAGGCAGGTGCCCTTTCTCTTCCTGTGTTTGACTACCTTTTTGGCGGGGCTTGGGAGGGGTCAGGAGCTAAGTGGGCATTGTTAACCTGTTGCTTTCAGTTGGCCACCTGGTATTTCTTTCTCTTCTGAGCGGGTCAATTTGCCCCTGAAGGTGAGGCCTGCCTGCCTCTGCCCTTCAGCCAGCGCCCGAGTCTCTGTGTGCCCCTCCTAGTCAGGAGTCCCGGGGGCATTTTCCCTTGTGACTGGATTCTCCTTTCTCAGCCCCAGGACCAAATCACCATCACAGGGTACGAAAAGAACACAGAAGCTGCCCGGGACGCCATATTGAAAATTGTGGGTGAACTTGAGCAGATGGTTTCTGAGGATGTCCCGCTAGACCACCGTGTCCACGCCCGTATCATTGGCGCCCGTGGCAAAGCCATTCGCAAAATCATGGATGAATTCAAGGTTAGTGCCCAACCCCACCGAGAAGGGCGTTTGTTAAGTCCTTGGCAGCAATGCGGATGGCGCCTGCTTCCTGCCATGTCAGATTGCGTCCTCCCACGTGGGCTAGTGAGGAGAGTGAGGACTGCCTGGGCCTTGGGCTTCCTGTGCCTACTTCCTGAATCTACTTCCTCGGTCTTCTGCCTCTGCTGCTAAGCACTCACCAACCCGCTGGGCTCTGGGAGTGGAGGTGTCTGAGGCTCAGGCGCTCGGCCTGAGGCAGCGAAGCTGAGTGGGGTCACAGTTGCATGTGCGGCACCCTTGGCAGCGCCCTGCACACGTCCCTGGTGGGGGCCACAGCTCTGACAAAGGTCCACCCCCTTTGTCCTCTGTAAACAAGGCGCTTCCATGGGCACTGGACCACCTGTCATGATGACAAGGGAACAGCCATGAGCCCAGATCTTTACGTTTTCATTAACTCCAGAAGGGAAAACACTGGAGGTTCACTGTTCTGGCCACACAGCACGGTGGCCAGTTAGTGTAAAGCTCGTGGACGTGAGCTCAGTTAGCTGAGGTGCTGTGTGTGCTCCTTCCAGGTAGACATTCGCTTCCCGCAGAGCGGGGCCCCAGACCCCAACTGCGTCACCGTGACAGGGCTCCCAGAGAACGTGGAGGAAGCCATCGACCACATCCTGAACCTGGAGGAGGAATACGTGAGTCCTGCGGTTATGGCGAGGTGGGCTGGGTGGGCATGCGGGGGCACTGTGGCCTGACGCCACCTGTGCCTGCAGCTGGCCGACGTCGTGGACAGTGAGGTGCTGCAGGTGTACATGAAGCCGCCTGCCCATGAGGAGTCCAGGGCACCGTCTAAGGGCTTCGTGGTGCGGGACGCTCCCTGGACTGCCAGCAGCAACGAGAAGGTCAGGCTTCCCTGAGGTGCCCCATGCCCAGGAGGCGAGGTGCCGGCCACTCCTGCCTCGCCTGGACGGGCCCAGTGGCTGAGGGTGGGGGTCACTTTGGAGCTGCTTGAGCGCAACCCCCTTACTGAAGCAGTGCCCTTTCTGTCCCCCCAGGCTCCTGATATGAGCAGCTCTGAGGAATTTCCCAGCTTTGGGGCTCAGGTGGCCCCGAAGACCCTCCCTTGGGGCCCTAAACGATAATGATCAAAAAACAGAAACCTCTCCAGCCTGCTGACCCAAACCCCGCCACAAAATGGTTTGTCTCAATCTGACCCAGCGGCTGGACCTTCCGTAAATTGTTGACGCTCCCCCTCCCTGAGGTCTCGCAGGGAAGCCAGGCCACCCGGTGCTGTGTGCGGCCAGTTCCCGGGCCTGGCCAGCTCTGGGCGCGAGCTCAGGGCCCGACACCTCTGCTCTGGGACAGCCCTCCACTGCTGTGAACACTAACAGGGGTCATCGACGTGTCGCCATCAGCTTCTGGTCCACCCAGCATGTCAGGAAGGCTCTGGCCTCCGCTCTCAGAGCTCCACGGCTGTGGCTGAGTCTACTTCCTGTGTCATGACCTCAGGAAATAAATTCCTTGACTTTATAAAAGCCAAAACGTTTGCCCTCTTCCTTTCCCATCTCCCTTCTCCCCTCTGCCTGTCGTCCAGACCCTCCTTTTGTAGGATGCTGTCCGCCTCCTTCCAGCTGCCAAAAAGCACACACAGCCCAGACCATGGGTGGGGAGGGAGACCCAGCGCGCACGCTGGGAGCACCGAGACCCGCAGTGGATCTGGGGGTTGGGAGAGGCAGAAGGGTGATGTGGGTTCCAGGTGTGTCTGCCCTGCACCACAGGTGCTGGCGGCCCCAGGTCTGGTGAGCGAGACCTGAAGGTGAGGCTGCAGGTCCGCCATCGGGGCCTGCGGTGGCCTGGGGATGGGAGAGGGCTGGCCCGCCCGGGAGAGGTGGGGACTGCCACCCCCCCTCCACGAGGGCCCTGCACCTGCTGCTTTCTCAGGCCCACCCTCCCTAATGCCTGTTCTTCCTTCCTTCTACCTCAGCCAGTGTGGTCGTGACCTCATGCTCAGGGTGGTGCCTCCCTCGGCGCCCAGCCTATTGATTCTCACGTTTCCAGTGGTCGTGTGTTTGCTGTGCCCTACCTCCCTCCCCCACAGGTGGTCAGTGGGGAGTGCACATGCCACTCCCCTCAGGCTGTCCTCTTGACGCCTGCTCGGGGGCTGTTCTCCAGAGGCAGGCTGCTTCGTGTTCCTGGGGGTGACAAGAGGCTGTCACTCCTGGACTAGAGAATGGGTGCTGCTGAGGGCGTCTGCTTTTCTCAGGTGTGGTAGGTAATCCCGGCCAGCACAGGGCCCCTCCGTGTGTTGCTGGGAGAACCACAGATGGCCTTTGTTTCTGGGAGGTCTGGTCTCCCCATCCCCACCTCTGCCCCCATGGAGGTGACTGAGCCATCCCAGACAGATCCTGGAGTTCTTAGAGAAGCCCTTACCCGGGGGTGGTCAGTCTTCCTTTGCCACCCCCCACCCCCTCACCCCAAAGGTTTTTTCAGTGGTTTCATAACCCAGCTTGGCAATCTGTAGGCTGAAGTTCCCAAACAGACCAAGAATTGCTTAACACCGTGTGCCGTCAGTGGCCTCCAGTCCCCATTAGCCCGAGCAGCCTTTCACGTGCCCCTCTACAGGAATGACAAGTGGGGACAGGAAAGAACATTTGCTCCACCAGTAGGCTGAAGGACCTCAAATCACGTAGCTCGTCAATGATTCAGATCAGGAGCGAGCAGGCACGGCACTGTCGCCTTTCTCCAGGAAAGCCCCGCCCTCTGGGGAGCCTCACAGGCAGCGGCCGGCATCCCCTTCCCACCTGCAGGAGTCTTGGAGCCTTTCCCGGTGACCACCGAGCTAACCCCCCTCGCCTCTGGTCCCTCTGGTGTCTCCCCTTGGTTCGACCATGTCCAGCCCCTCCTCCCCCAATGTAAATTGTTAATTCTCACAACCGCTTTTTGCACATCTGCATTTGTCGCTAAGTGTCATCCATGCAGCTTCCCTTTCCTGAGCTGTTTGGGTTGTTAGCAACGGCTGAGGTGACTGTGCCCAGGGCTCCTTCAGTCCCTGGGACAGCCCTCACCGGGCTGGGGGCGTGTGTGCGTTTCCTCCTGTTGACTGTTCCCTTAACGTGTGTCTAGTTACGACCCATCCCTTGGCCTTAACTTTGGAATTTGGAGAGTATGTGCAAACATGTATAAAGGTTCATGAATATGGATGACACTGGAATTTTACAAATTCTAAAATAAAGCCCAAAACCAGATGCAGTGTGCTGGGGCTTATTTTATCACGCCATGTATGTGTGCCTGGTCCTGGGAAACGGGGGTGTCTTCACACTGCCAATAAGTGGTCCCTGGTCATCTGTACATGGTGTTGGACTTCGGTGCGGTTCTCCCAGCTGCCATATGGTTCAAGCCTGTGTTAACTGCCTGCCATGCAAGAGCCACTGTGCGAGGCCAGTGGTGGTCACAGCTGGCTGCTGTCTTGGACTGCCGTCCTCACTCAGGATTCTCTGAATTCTCTCCACCACAGACCTCAGCGGCATGCCTGGGAAAGGCTCCCAGCACCCAGGTGGGTGCTGAGCTGCAGTGGGGAGGGGTCACCCTCATGTCAGAAAATACCTGGAAGAGGCCAGTGGGGTGAGGGAGGTGGCAGGAGACAGCATGGGCCAGGAGTGGTGTCTTCCTTCAGGGAGCACTCACTGCGCCTTGGTCAGCATGGCGGTGACATGCCAGCACACTGGGTTCCACTGTTCCATCCTGGCTTTAGAGGCTGAGGTGGTGGCTACTCTGGGTGGGCAGGAGGGTTATGTGGGAAGGGGCCTGCGCCCCACACTGGTCCTGGTAGGCCGTGTCTTGATGGACACGTTCACAGCGGGACGTTCACAAAAGCCTGACACGTGACTTGAGCGTTTTCTTGTTTCAATAAATTTACTCTAAAATTACGAAGTTTGAGACAGAACAGTCACACAGCAGCTGGAAGAAAATTGCTGTGGACGTTAAGATACGGACACTACGGGGTTTGGTGCACAAAGGATGGTTCCTTTTCGAAAAGGTGGACGAGTGAGCAACACGCCCAAAAGAAGTGCCCGTGGCCACAAGCAGCCTTGGTGCTCAGCCTCGCCAGGAACACTTCCCGAAGCCGGGCACGATGATGCCGTGTCGACAGGGACACTGTTCAGGAAGGTGTTGACTGACGCTTGGGGAGGAAGTTTGGTGCTGCAATCACAGCCTTTGAAAAACTGCATATACTTTTTGACACGTCCAGGCAAGCACAGTGTATTTCTGCACGTTTGTTACGGCGTGATTTATGACGGGAGAGCACCCAGCTCAGTGGGGAGCACCGTGTCACCACATGCAGCAGTTGACAGAGGTGGGAAGAGCTTTGCGAAGCCAGCGGACGGGGGCCGATGTACTTAACTGGGCTCCTGGTTTTGAAAATGATCACGTGAACGTGCAGAAACACTTCAGATCACTGATGTTACAGGAACATCCTTCCCTCCAAGTATTTGCTCAGGGAATGAAATAGTCTCCTTCCAGACTCTCCACCGGCTGCTCAGTAGGCTGTGCTGGCCCAGCCTCGGCACACAGCCTGGGAGGGGGCTTTGGTCAGACTGCCGCAGGAAGATTTCTGGACACTCAGGCTGTTGAGAATGGCCAGGAAGGAAGGTGGGGCCCAGTTCAAGAAATGAGACGATGGAACCAAGAGGGTTTGGCAGACAATGGGGAATGGAGGGGTGGGGTGGGGTAGGGTGGTGCGCTGACTCCCCAGCTGGGACCTGGAACACTGCAGCGCTGAAAGAGGGGCTGTGCTGGGGGCAGGTAGGCTCCTGTGTGGACAGGATAGGAAGAGGCTGGGGTGGATCTTGAGAGGGGACACCACCATTCAAAGGACAGCAGATACAAAGAGCACCAGAGACAGAACAGAGGATCCCAAAGTCCACTGGCTTGATTGGCAGACGAGTCACGTCTGAGGGCTGAGGGGTCCGTGGGAATGTGAACAGGGAGAGGCCAGGGTGTGTCAGGGGGCCCTGGGGATGGGGCAGAGTGGAGGGGGGTGGCCTGGAAGGGCTGGTGCTCTCAGTAAAGAGGCAAAGAGCTGGGAGGCAAGGGGACTCTGTGCCTAGGGGTTGGGGGTGGGGGTGTGATGGCAGCCAGCATCTCAGATGTGGGGCCATTCTGCCCCAGGGTGAGAGGATGCTGGCTCATGGGCTGGCTGTGTGGGAGATGGTGGGGGCAGCTCCTCGACAAGCTGCCAGATGCCCCCGGGCTCCCCTGGGCACGGTATGCCCTGGCCCTACAGGTGCCACTGCCATAGCAGGCTGGCTTTGGGTACTCCAAAGGGATGGCCATTGGGGGTGGTGATGAGGAACTGGGGGGCAGGGCGCGTGAGCAGAGGCCCAAGGCAGCTAAGGGCACAGCAGCTCTGGGCCAAAGACAGGCAGGAGATGGGCTGTGGCCTCGGCGGTGAGCCCGACAACCTCACATCTCCCTAGTGGCGAGGCCTCTGCCCTCCAGGTGGGTCTGGTTCCAGGCCTTCAGCTGCCAACTCTCGGGGTGACCCTTGTGACCTCATAGGGAAGGGACTGGGGAGGCCCAGCTGGCTTCTGGCAGCCTAGGCTTGTGGGCTCAGGTTCTTCTCTGAGGCTGGTGGCCGGTGGTCCTTCATTCCATTTGTTCCAAGGAGAGCCTGTCTCCAGGAAGGGGTGGCAGAGACGAGCAGTGTGATTAGACTGTGACTTTTCACACTGTCACACACTGCAACACAGCACCAGGCTGGGGGCCACACACACACCCCCCCCCCGGGTGAGGGAGGGTGAAGCGTGAGGGCTGGGGGAGGGGCTCACCTCATTCTCAGCCAGCGCCTGCTTGGCCAGGTAGTACTCACGCTTCACCTTGACCTCCACGGACTCAGGGATGTCAGGTACCAGGAGGTCGAGGACACGGCCGATGGAGAACACCACGTGCTGGGGGGCAGAGGACAGTACAGGTGTGGACACCTGCTCCCAGCTTCCCTGGGACACTGCAGAGCCCAGTACAGTGGCCAGGCAGGGATTAGCTCCATTTCCCAGAGGGGGAAACAAAAATGCAGAGACGAACTGATTTGACCAAGGTGACAGAGCAGAAGTGCTGAGACCCTACTCCCTTGATCTCACCGAGCCCCCCGTGCCACATGTGAGATTAAGATTAGACAAAGCAGGGAAGCCGAGAGTACCAGTGGGGGAAGCCAACAGAGGAACTGGAGGTGCCTCGGCTACCTCAAACACAACGACAAAGGCCAGGCGGATGGCCAGAAGATGCCAGTAGGTCCGGGAGTAATGCCCATCGTCTTCCCTGAAAGCCCGATACCTGCAGGAGGCATGGCACTCAGTGTGGGGAGCCCGGCAGGTGCCTTTCTCAGCTTCACCTTTCCCTCCCTGATCCTGTAATTCTGGGCCTGGCTTACCATTAGGGGGCCTGATGCAGGAACTCCCAAGCAGTGTGCTCTGACAGTCCCTTTAGCTTTACCTGCTGTGGTCCCCAAGGGGTGGATGGGCTGGAGTGTCCCATTTTCCTACCAGGCTAAACTGGGCCCCACGGTGGGAAATGCCTTATTATCTAGATGTGACAATCCGGTACGTGTGTGCTACAGGTGAAGTCAACCTCCTTATTCCTTGCAGTCTGCTCTGCTCAGAGACTCTGCCTGCCCAGCATGTAGCTCCCTTCCTATAATAAGCACAACGTTCAGCTTTGCTTTCTGTTTCAGATTGAGTGGTCATCTTGTCATCCTTTGACAGCTTCCTGTATTTCTGTCTTGTGGTAAGATGTGACATCCCATATTGTAACAAATTTAGATGTTGTACTCCATGGAAAGCATCACTAGGGCCAAGTTTGTACGAAAAGAAAAAAAAAATCTTGAAAGTTAAAAATATAATCATTGAAAAAAATTCCTCAATGAATGAGATAAACTTTATGTGGCTAAACTAGACACAACAGAAGATAGACTGTGGGACCTGGAAGATGATTATGATGAAATCAGCCTGAATGCAATATAGATAGCCTACAAGATTTAAATATATATATATATATATATATATATATATATATAAAAGCGCTCAAGAGACATGAAGGAGAAATGGAGAAGTTCCAACATATTGGGAGTTCCAGAAGATGAGAATGGAAAGGAATGGAGACGCATTATCTGAAGGAATAAAATGGAGATGTTTCCAGGACTAAAGAAAGACATCATTCTTTAGATCAATAGCACATTTTGAGTCTCAATGAGAAATTTTAAATAAACCCTACCATGACAGATAGCTGTTAGTGACACAAACCAAGGAAAATGAGAAAAATATTTTAAATGCTACGCATGCTTCCAACAACAAAAGCCAGGTCACTATATAATAATATTTCCAAAGACCTGATGCAAAATAACTCTAAACCTGGAATTTTATACCTGTTATTCAAAGGACAGAGCGATATTTTAAGACATATAAAAACCAACATACATAAGAGTTTACCAACTACACCATTCCTGAAAGAGCTATTAAAGGATATACTTCCACAAGAAGAAAAATGCATTCAGAGGGAAGGCAATGAATATGAAACTACTGTAGCCACAGAAATTAATACAGCACACCAAATAGATGTGATTAACAAAGACTAAAAATGTTTTTGTGTTTTTTAATAGTAAAATTAAAACTGTATAACAATATGATGGGCACTCAATAGGTAGTGAAGTACATGAAGATCCCAGTCATGCTCAAGCAGAGGAGACAAAAATGAATGAATTCCTTCAGGTTTTATTAGAAAAATGTTTAGTTAAGAATGTATGCTAAAAATATAAGGGTAGTTCCTAAAATAATAAAAATATACAGCATCAGTTCCAAATGAGCATAAAGAGAAAAAAAATACACATTTTTTACTCATCCATAGAAGGCAGAAGAGGAATAAAATGGAAAAAGAATGGGAGAGGTATCCACTAAGAACAGATCACAGCTATGAACTTATATGCAACTCAGAACCTGAAAATACGTAAAGCAAAACCTAACAGAACTACATGAAGAAACTGATAACCCTACATTCCTGGGAAGATTTTAACTCACCTCTATCAGAACCTGATAGAATAAGCAGGAGGGAAAAAAGGATGAAAACCTGAACAATAAAATTAAGAAGCCTGACCTAATAGGTATATGTAGAATGTTGCTCTAAAATTAGCATTAATAAAAAATAAAAAATTGTTTTCAAGTTCACATGAAACACATGCAAAAATCCACTGTGACCAGGTCATAAGGGAAGCCTCAGCATATATGAGATTCCCATCATCTCAACTCGCAGGTTCTCTGACCTCCAAGCAATTAACAGAATCAATTACCTTTTTTAAGTAGCAAAAAGAATTTGCAACCACATGGATGGATCTAGAAGGTATTATGCTAAATGAAATAAGTCAGAGAAAGACAAATACCACATGATTTCACTTATATCTGAAATCTAAAAAGCAAATGAACAAACAAAAATGAAAACAGACTCATAGATACAGAGAACAAACTGATGGTTGCCAGAGGAGAAGTGGGTGGGAAGATGGGCGAAATAAATGAAGGGGAGTAAGAGGTACAAAATTCCACTTATAAAATAAGTCCTGGAATGTAATGTCCAGCTTAGGGAATATGGTCAATATTGTAATAACTTTGCATGGTGACACGTGGTAACTAGACTTACGGTGTATAAAAATATCAAATCACTGTTGTACACCTGAAACTAACAATATTGTATGTCAACTATAATTCAATAAAAGCAACCAACTCCACGTGTTTGGGAACTTACTCTCCTAAATAATTCATGGATAAATAGGGAAATCGCAATTGAAGTTATTAAGTATATATATGAAGCTATGAAGTGAAGGATAGTAGATATATTATCAACACTAATGGAATGAGACTTTTAAGGGGTATATTCAAGTAAATGTATAGACATGAGTTAATTATTAAAACCCAAGAAAAACTGGAAAAGAACAAGTTAAGGTTTCAACTCCACAACATTGATTTTTAAGAGTAAAGACCCAAACTACATCTGGAATGAAAATGGGGCCCTAACTACAAAAACATGTGAGCTTAAAAAATCTTAAGAGAATATTATGAATACATTTGTGTCAATATGTTTTAAAACTTAGCTGAAATAGTTTTCTGCACACACAAAGAAATTGACTCAAGACGAAATAGAAAACGTGAAACTACCTAGAAGGTGCGCCTTGAACACGGTTTCAAAAACTCAAAAATCCCCGTATGAGCGGACCCGCGTTGTTACCGGGTCACTGGCTGTTGCGAGTCCTTTTGCGCGGAGGCCGGACTTCAGTTACCTGGGCGGCGCCCTAACCCCGCGCTGCTCCCGGGTCAACGAAACCTCCCCCGAGGAAAGGGAGGGGATGGGTGGTCACACTCCGCGCGCGCCCCCAGTGTGCTCCCGAGTCCTGCAGCTGTGTGCGTGCGTGCGTGCGTGGCGCGGGGCGGAGGTGCTGACGACCTTCGGGCTCCGGGGCAGGAAACACGGGGCACGGAGCCCACAGCGTTCTGGTCCTCCCCGTTGTCCTTAGGGGTTGGTCCCCGCCCCCGGAGAGCCCCGCCCNCCTTCGGGCTCCGGGGCAGGAAACACGGGGCACGGAGCCCACAGCGTTCTGGTCCTCCCCGTTGTCCTTAGGGGTTGGTCCCCGCCCCCGGAGAGACCCCTCCCCGGGCGGCCTCACCTGCACGTGCGGTTGTGCTCCGCGGCGAAGGCGGGCGGGGCGCGCGCCAGCGTGAAGTTGACGAAGCCGCGCAGGTCGCCGGCGCGGGTCCACTGGTAGTAGGTGCGGGGCAGGAAGTCGGACGAGAAGGCCAGCAGGAAGGCCTGGCGGCGCGCCCCGGCCGCCCGCGCGGGGGCCCCGCCTCTGTCCCGCGGTCCCCGCCGGCCCCGGCCCCCGGCTCGCCGCGCGCTCACGTTGCTGATGACGGCCAGGTGCGTGATGCCCGCCAGGATGGGGAACCAGATGCCGACGTCCTGCGCGCGCTCGGCCACCGGGCGCCGGCGCTCGCGCACGAACTTGCGCGCGTCCAGGCGGATCTCCACCCAGTTGTTGAGCAGCGCGAAGAGCGGCGCCAGCGGGCACGCGGCCACGAAGATGGTGACGAAACCGAACTGCAGCACTGCGGGCGCGGGGGTCAGCGCCGGCCCCTCCGTGCCCCAGCCCGCCGTGAACCCCTCCCTGCGCCCCGCCCGGCCACTGTTGCTCCTCCTGCCCCTGCGCGTCCTGAAGCCTCAGCCCCAGGGCCCCCTCCCCCTGGAAGCCTCCCTGACAGCACACAGGGCTGGATGCGTGTCGGCAGCCGCCCAGGCTCCCTGAGGTCAGGCATTGTAACTCTCCGCGCCACTGCCCGGCCCAGCCTGTGGGATCATGGCAGGAGGGGGAGCAGAAACCTGCCTCTGATTTTAGGGTTGGCTTCCCCATTCACCCCTTGGGGGACTCTAGGCAGTGGCTCCTTGAGAGGGTTCCTGGGTCTTTGTAAAATTACTAAGGAGAGCATCAGACCCATTGCCTGTTGCCCAATGGAGTAGGGACACACAAGGTCAACCCCACTCCCACGCTCTCACGGAAAAACATGTGAACCGCTCATCCACAAACCCGTACCACTACTGTCACCCCTTTTGCCTCGGATGTGGGAGAACTCAGAGGGATCTGTTTGGCTCAGATGTAGCACTTTCCATTACAAGAGCTCCGTGATCTCAGAGTAAGACCATGGGCTGCAGCGTTAGATACTGACGAAGCACGCCACCCCATGCCAGGAATGAGCTGCAGGCATGGGCCACCCCCCGGCCAGGGCACGGGGCAGGCTCCCGCTGGCTGGCATTGAGGAAGTTTCTGGAGCGTCGACTCCCAGATGGGCCCCCAGTGGTCAGGACACCTGAGGCCAGTCACCAACCAGGTGCAGCCTCACTCTCCAGGGCCACTGTCCCCACCCCTGCACCTGCTCTCCGGAGTACCAGGCTGCTTTCTTCACGGATGCTTTCCAGGGAGTGGGGAGATTAAGGCCACTCCAGGACAGCCTCGTCGACTGCCCCAGGTTCTCTTCCCAACCCCTGTGCCCAGGACGCTGGCCCTTCCCATCCTTGGCCGACCTTTTCCGGGTGCTCCCCACTCTGCCCCCACGGTTCCTTCCAGGATCCTTTGCAGGCCTGGCTCCACCAGGGCCCCTCTGTCCCCACTGCACCCCCACATCACGTTTCAAGGGAGATGTGGACAGAAATGCTGAGGCTGAGGCCCTGAGTGGCACTTACCCATTTCGAGGTACTCATCAAAGAGGCCCTCACAGGGCAGGAGCTCGTAGTCTGCCTCCCAGGGTGCCTGGCCAGCCGCTGCTGAAGCCCCCGCTTTCCTCTTAGAGCGAAGCCGGAACTTCTGCCACCAGCCCTTCAGCTTCCTGCATGTGGGACACCCGGGAAAATGGCTCCTGTTCTTACAAGCTGGGCTGCGCTGCAGTTACAGGGCAGCAGGGAGAGGAGGGTCTGGGGCCCTGGGTGGGCACAGTGGGGCAAGGCCTCCCAGAACACTGCGTCCTGAGGGGCAACCCCTCCCCCATCTCCCCTTCAGCTCCCTCAGGAAAGCCAGCACTGCTCCTGGAAGCTTTTGGGGGGCATGGATTTCCCTGGGAATTGCAAAGAGGTGCCAAGAACTGTGTCAAAGTTGGGAGGGAGCAGATGAGGACAGTCTGCTCCAGGGGAGCTTTGTCACACGCGGGGCACATGTGCATGTGGCTTTGTCATACATTGGGTACATTTGTGCGTGGCTTTGTTGTGCATGAGAGCACATGTGTGTGGCTTTGTCACATTGAGGCATGTGTGCGTGTGGCTTTGTCATTCATGGGCATGTGACATGTGTGGGGGCACTTGCACATGACTATCATACATGGGGGCATGTGTGCATGTGGCTGTCAAATGTAGGGCATGTGTGTGCATGACTCGTGTGGGGCATGTGTGCATGTGACTGTCATGTGTGGGGCACATGTGCGCATGGCTTTCACTCATCCAGCCTCTGCCCTTGTGATCTTGAATTCACTGTCCTGAGATGCAGGGCCGCAACCCAGAAGGGATGTGGGTTGACCCCACAGCTAGGGTTTGTGGGGCCCCTAGGAGTCCATGCTGTCTGAGGGAGACCAGATATGCAGGGGAAGGTGCAAAGGTGTCCAGGTTGGGTCCAGCCTCAGGTAGTCCATTGCAAAGGCTCTGGCCTGGGAAGGGGGCCCAGTTGCTGGATGGGGGCCACAGTGGTGCCAGTGGGGGTAGTACTGGGGAAATGGGACCCCAGTGGTCAGGGTTCCTGAGGCCTGGGCCTCCCCGGCTCCTCCCTCTGGTGCTGCCTTGGAGGCTGGAGATGCTGCAGAAAGCCCTGACCGCAGAGGCTACAGACAGGAAGGGCTGACGTGGGCAGGGCCCTGGAACCTGGGCTTCCTGCCCCCACCAAAGGTGGCCCAGGGACAAGAGAACTCAGCTGTGTGGTGTCACAGAGTCCACAGGGCACGTGGCCCAGGGCAGACCCTTCCCTCTCTGCAGATGAGGCATCCAGGTCTAGGAGGGGCCTCCCTTCTTCTGCAGGCTGGGGGCTGCCGGCCCAGACACTCCCAGTCCCACAGTCCCTGGACACTGCCCAGGGCAGGGTGGGGGTGACTCACGGGACGAGAATCTCCTGCACGTTGTTGATGACCTGTTTGCCCACCATGATGACCAGCAACTCCTGAGCCAGCTCGATGAGGCAGCCTCCAGCAGCACACTATGGCAGGAGGGCTCGAGGGTCAGCTCAGGGGAGGGACCGGCCTCAGGTGACCCATCCTTCTCTATGCCTCAAAGGTGGCCCCTGCCATGCCCTCACCTGCCTTTCAGACACGCCATGGACACCTCGTGGACTGCACAGACCCTCCCCCCGGGCCCAAGCTCCTCACAGTTGACCCCCCCACCCCCGTCTAACTGGGGACTGTGCATGGGAACGACCAGGGGGCAATGCTGTAGGGCACCCCAGTTTTCCTTTGGGGACCCATGTGGGGTGATGTGGGGCTGACTCTAACTTGTGGCTCCAAGGAGCGCCCCAGGAATCACTGACCCTTTTGAGCCTGTGAGAGGTGGGCCCAGGGCTCTCAGGGGGAGCTCCGGGGACAGCGTATGTTGCACAGGGGTGTCGGCCTGTGCTGTTGAGGTGTCAGCCCCCAGGTGGTTGGGGGAACCTGCCTGACAGCAATGCAGCCTTGTTTAAACACCTGGGCGCAGCCCTGGCCGTTTTCAGCACAGGAGCCAACAAACGGCCCTTCTTGCTTTAGCCGGTTTGAGCTGGGAACTTCTCCCACTGATAATTAGAAAGCCACCTGACTGATACAGCGCCGTGCACCAGTCCACCCGAGTGGGGATCCCAGTTGCTTTGTCCTTGAGACGCCCCTCCCCTGACAGGTGAAAGTGGAGGGTGTCTTAGGGGCGGCCACTTTGCAGGCAACTGTGGGGTTGGGTCACAAACCAGATGGTGTGAAGGAAGGAGGCCTCCTCAGAGGAGGGTCTTTCAGGTGAGGTCACCTGGGGACCGTCCTAGCCCCTCCCAGCTGTGCCACCTGTACCCTTGGCCTCAGGATGTGTGTGGCCCTCAGCCAATGAGGAGCTAGATGCACGGGGACAATTTTGAGGGGTTTTCTACAGTGTCTCTGATGGTCAGGGCAGGGTCAAGCCCAGGTGCCCACAGAAGTGACCCTACGTTCAGTCACTTGCAGGCGTGGGGCACTGAGCCCCGTGAGAGTCGCCAGCCTGTGTCCCCAGCTGAGCTCTGGGCAGTGACAGTGGCTCAGGTGTGAATCGGGTTAGAGTGGGGAAAGGATGACACATATGGACACGGACTGTGGGTGTTTTGTGGGTGGCTGTTCTGGGGGGGGGTCTAAAGAAGTGGTGTGAAGAGGCTGGTGTGGCCATCCTGGGGGCAGCTGCGGTGGCGAGAGCTGCCACAGAGTAAGGCTCTGATGGAGGTCAAGGGGCCAGGACCTGGGGCCCTGGCATGGTCAACGGCGCTGGTCTCCTGCACACTCACCTCCTCGTTACGGACCCCAAACAAGCTGTGGTAGCTGCCCGGGTACCCCACAAACCTAAAAGAAATGAGATTCCCAGGTCACAAGTAAGGAGGTGTTTCTCGCCTGCTGCTGCACCCACACCAGGCCTGCAGGACTTCAAAGTGGACCTGGAGCCCACACAGGGTCGGGGAGGCCCAGGGCCAGGGGACGGGGAGGCCCAGGGCCAGGGGACGGGGAAGCCCAGGCCTGGGACGGGGAGGTCCAGGGGCAGGGATGGGGGAGGCCCAGGGTAAGGCTGGCTGGCAGCCATGCACCCACCTGCCCTTGAAGAAGGCAATGTATATGGGTGAGGAGTAGAAGTTGGCAAACTGGAAGATGAACACCTTGAGGGTGAAGGCGTCCTCGAACCTGGTCTGTGTCCGGTGCATTTCTGCCACAGAGAGGCTCCCTGGTCCCAGATGGAGCCTGGCCACCCCCCACAGCCCCGCGCCCTAGGACCTCCCACCCACCAAGGGAGGAGGCAAAGTGTGGCTTTCCTGAATTTCTAATTTAACAACCACTTGAAAAATGTTATGTTGGTAGAGGAAGAGTGGGGTCATGTGACAATAACCCGTATCAATGTTAAGAATGGAAATGGAAGCACAGGTGAGCAGCCAGGGGCAGAGGACAGAGTCCCAGAGCCTGTCTTGAGGTGCCCAGGAAGGCGGTGCTCAGGCGGAGGGGACACCTGAGGCTGGAAACACTCTGGGCAGCTCCGCCAGGGCCCTGACCCTGTATCCCCTCAGCTGGGACACCAGCCCACCTGGAGGCCCCCCATTTTCTCCACAGCACTCCACCCCCATCACTCTCCCTCAGTGGGCACCAAGCCCTCCGTCCTGTTCCTAGACCAGGGCCACTAACAGACAAGCAATTTGTGGAATGAATGGGTTGGTTCATTAGTTTGTCCTTAGGAAATGTGGGGTGGGGGGGAGTAGAGAAAATGCGGGGAGAGGGAGGTGAGCATGAATGGGGCGGGGGCGGAGGGAGCTTACTCTGCAGCTGCCCACCTTAGACACTTAGGAAAGTAGTAGGCTATGGGCAAGTCCCCCACGGGGGCGCTCAGAGGGGCTGACTGGCACAGACAAGGGTCCCCACCCCTCACAGCCCCAGGGGACCTCAACTGCAAGGGGTCCTGTGCCAGGGGGGCCAGCATGGCCCCAGGAGTAGGGTGAGGCCTGGGTGCCCTGAGGGCACTCCTGTCCCCACACCCAGGCCACGCTCATATCTGTTTAGGGACCCCCGCCATCTGTGCCTCTTTCAGACACTGAGGACCCTGTAGATTGTCAAGAAAGGCACTGACTCTGGCCAGCAGGGCTAGGGCGCGTCCCGGGTCAACCCTGGTCACTCACCCCATCTCGTCAGGAGGTGCGCCAGGGCCACGTAGAGCTTGGAGAGGATGAGGATGAAGATGAGGTTCACCACGGACCCCGTGAGGCTGGCGATACGCGATGCCTAATGGGACGCGACCATCAGAGCGGGCGCTGGCGTGGTCCCGGGCCACCCCCGAAGCAGGGGCAGGTGCTGGAGGCTCACCCAGGCTGCCAGCAGGGTGTTGTGCGATCTGGACACCAGGATGGCCATGATGGCCCGGTACAGGATGATGGACACGAGGCACATGACCACCACAGCCACCTTCAGAGTGAGTGACCAGGCACGTGAGCTCCCGGACCCCTCAGGCCACAGCCCCCAGCTCCATCGCTGCCCCCAGCTCTAGACCAGGCTGTGCCCCGTGTCTCTTCCTGGTGTTGTTGGGGGGAAGCGGAGGTGGGTTGGGGAGAGGTGGAGGTTTGGGGGAGGGGCAGGTCATTTAGGGTTAGAGGGTGGAGTCAAGGGCACCTCTGTGCATTGTTCCTTGCCCCAAGTCCTGGAGAATTGTCCTTCCTGTCCCCACACCGCCCCCGCAGCAGCCAAAATTGGGAATTCCTGACATCTGGGAAGGGGGGTTGTCCCTGTGCTGGGACACACCCCCCACCCCCCCACCCCATGTTTGAAGGCTGCCCCAGGCTCGCATCTGTGAACCTTCTCCCAGCCCCCTGCCTGGCACACACCCAGCTCTTACCACCAGACCCACTGCAGGGCTGTGAGTTTGGGCTCCTCCCCGGAGCCCAGGCCTTTCTGGGGACAGCAGGGTCTTGTGGGCCGGAGGGAGCACGGGAACAAAAGCTGCCTTCCTGCAGCTCAGGAGAAAGGGGTACGCTGGGGAGGGCACCGGGGCCTCACCATCATGGCGATCACCACGGACCCAGCCAGCACGCGGCGCACACGGCTCCTTCTGGGGAAGTAGGGCTCATCCTCGCCAGTGATGGGGTTCGGGGCTGTTGTGGGGGCTGAGGCGGCAAACTGGGGCCGCGGCCTCTCCTGGAAGGGAGCCCATGTTTAGCGGCAGCCGCGCATGGGGAGGGGGAGGGCGGCCATGGTCTGGGGGACGACCCACCTCGATGTCCTCGTAGTCCGAGCAGCCCCAGCGGTAGGCCAGCGTGGCACTCTTCCGCTTCCAGTACTCCAACAGCAGCACTGCCCATAGCGCCACGAACAAGCTGAAGAAGACGGTGCCGCCGTGGTCAAAGAGCCGGCCTGCCTGCGGGAATGGAGCGGGACGTCGGGCTTGGGACTCGCGGCCGGGCTGGCAGGGCCCTCGTGCTGCCCGGTCGCTCCCTCTGGGGACAGCAGCGCCTGCCCTAGGCCTGCCTATCAGTGCAGCTTGAAAGCAGGTACCTTGTTTCCTGGTGCCCAAGGCACAGACTAAGGGGATGTTGCCCAGGCACTCACCCTTTATTGATCGGTGATTGAGGTGAGACTCACATGAGACTGTTGATACTTGCGTGACTTGGACTTAGAGTTAAGGCTGTAATGCCTTGGGAATGTGGGGTGAATGTATGTTGAACGTGGGATGGACATGAAGTTCTCGGGGGGGGGGGCGGAGAGTGGGCTGTAGTGGATTGAATTGTGTCCAGGAAAAGACGTTCCCGGAACCTTAGAATGTCACCTTATTTGGAATAGGGGCCTCTGCATATATAAATAAGGTGGGGCCTCCAGGTGACAGTAGCCTGAATTCAGGGGCCCTGAGCCCAGGGACAAATCCTTAGGACAGAAGTGACAGGGAAACAGGCGCACAGAGGGGAAGGCCGCGTGAAGATGGAGGCAGAGACTAGAGCGGTGCAGCCACAAGACAGCCGCCCCCAGACTCCTGGCAGCCACCAGAATGCAGGAGCGAGGCAGGGGACAGAGTGTCCAGGAGGAAGCGGCTCTGCCAGCACTTTAACAGTGGCCTCTGGCCTCCAGAACGGGGAGGCCATACGTTTCTGTTGTTTTAAGCCCCCAGTTGTGTGCTCTGTTAGAGCAGCTGGGAACCCAGTACAGGCAGAGGCCCAGGAAGGCGTGTGTCAAAGGCATGTCTGGTCCACGGGTCCAACTTGGCCCTGAGGGCTCCAGGCCCAGTGTGTGGGGGGTGTAGGCGAGGCCACAAGATCGCTGTTCCCATGGAAAAGCTGACACCCCACAGTGTGCTGGGCTGGTGTGCAGGCCAGCGGGGCTCAGGGGCTCCAAGGAGCCCCCACCCCACCCCTCACCCCCACTGGGAATTCTGCTCAGCTGTCTGTCTGCCTTGGGGGCCCTCCACTTGTCCCTCTGGATCAGTTATACACAATAACAGTAATAGTAAGAGCCAACGTGTGGACACCTGTTGCGTCAGGCACTCTGCCAAATGCTGTGAGGTGGGTGCCAATCATACCCCCAGTCCAGGTGGGAACATCACCATGAGCTTAAATGACTCACAGGGGGCTCTGCCTCAAATGGTGACAGAGCTGGAGTCCCAGGCAGGGCTGGACGAGGACCTTGGGGAGCTGCGTTCCTTACCTCGCCCAACCCCTCCGCATACCTGGACCAGGGCACAGGAGCTGGAAAGCAGCCAGAAGGGGCAATCGATGCAGAGTGGGCACATCTCGAAGCTGTCCGTGCTGCTGCACACCTCCTGCCTTCAGAGCGGGGTGGGGGGTGCCGGAGCGTGGGGCAGCCCTCGGGCCAGGCCCACCCCTTGCACTCTCCCTCCCACCACCTCCTTTGCCAGGCCCGGTGTTACTTTAAAATATATGCAATGATAATTTTTGAGATAACTTTGAAATTTCAGCTCCATAATAAGGTAAAACCTAAGCCCAGGCATTTGTTTATTGTAAGAAAAGCTACAAGAAACAAGGGCGAGTGCCAATAAAATTAGCCTGGAGCACACCTGCCCACCCGTCTCAGCCTGGGGACGCACCTGCCTACCTATCAGCCCAGGAGCACACCTAGCCACCTGTCATCCTTCTAGTCAGGTCCACAGGGCCCTTTGTGACACCCATGACGGGAGGAATGTGCTTGGTGCTCACCTTCATCCCCAGCTCTGCATCGGGCCTGCCACCTGGGGGGTGTCCTGACCCCACCCCCCTACCCCCAAAACATAGGGCAAGGCCTGGGAACTGAAGGGAGAGGACACTTACGTGGGCGTGTCTGAGAACACCATGAGGCAGCCCGCCAGGAACACCAGCGCGCCCACTACTGCCGCTGGCAGGAGCCAGCATGTGTAGAACCCTGCAGAGGGGACCCCGGGTTAGCCGCCAGGGACCCGGCTGGGGAGACCCCAGGGTCAGCTGTCAGCAATGTGGGTGGGCCTGTGTACCCACTGCTGGACTGAGCACTGGACGGGGGTATGCACAGCCACGCGTGTGCCCCAGGGACCCGCATTCAGCCAGTGGGGTCTGGGGGCTTCTGGGAGGAAGCTGTGAGGGGCGTGGCCCTCTGGACCGTCCCCCGCAGCCCCCGCTCCTGGCCCCTGCCCTGGACTTTGGACCTGCTACCATGTTGACCAGGGCCTTAAGGGCCTGTCTGGGGACCAGGGAGGCTGGGGGCAGGAGTCAGGAGGGGCCCCGCCTGCAGAAGGGGGCTCCCAGCCCCTCACTGGGGTGTTAGGAGGGCCCCAGAGCAGTCCCAGCGTTCAACTGTCTTATTGGGCCCGTGGCTATGTCGTCCTGGGAGGGCTCAGCATGCTGGTGGCCAAGGCCTGTGCTCCGCTCCCCTCTTGGGGTCCCAGAAGCAGACTATGACCCTGAAGACCCAGTTGGGGGGACCTGGGAGGCACCAAGGGGCAGAACTCACCGAGCCAGGCGAAGTACAGGGCCACCTTCTCTCCGAAGTACCTGCGCACGTGGTCCAGGGGCTGGTACTTGTACCACTTACGCCAATGGGCCCAGTGCCGGAACAGGACCTGCCGCTGGCTGAGGCCTGTGGCCCGCAGGCCCTCCGAGGGCACCGTGACTGGGCCCTGGGGACAAGAAGCGCTGGGTGGAGACTCTAGGCTGGCCTGGGTGCCCACCCCCTATCAGTCCTATTCTAGCCCTGGGGGCGTCAGCACTGGGCAAGACCCAGGTGGTGCCCAGTGTGGGGGACAGGCAGACAAACCCAGGACGCAGGGCTGCTGGGGGCCCTGGAGTCGAGGAAGCCTCTCTGGGGAGGGGACATCTGAGCTGAGCAACCTCGGCCTCAGGGCCCCTGGGGTCTGAGTCTGGGGCAGAGGAAGGGCCTGGAGAGGAAGCCCTAGGAGGGGCCGGCGACTGTAGCCCTGGGTGCAATCGCTGTTTCTGGTTTGGGTTCCATGGCTCAGAAGCTGACAGCCCCCCAGTGGTGGGTAAGAAGCCGACTGCCAGGCGCTGTGGGTTCTGGGCTCTGGCTGGAGGCAGAAGGAGCGAGGCCACCACAGCGTGAGGTGGGCAGGCTGCGAGCTCCCCGGCCCGTTCTCACGGTCCCTCCTAGTGCACAGGGAGGGGCTGTCCCTCGTCATGCGGCAGTGGCTGAAGGCCTGATCCGGGCCTCAGGCCCCTTCCTGCAGCTCTGAGGCCTGCTGGGCGGCTGCGGGGGTCTAGGGTATAAACAGCCTCCAGACCACGTGGTAGACATTTTGTTAGGACGATAGTGAGGCTGACCGGCCCGGGTACAATGGCAGCTGGCGTGGTGAGTGCCCCTCCACTGCCTCAGTTTACCCAGCTTTATTTGGGGCACAGGGGACCTCACTGTCTTGCCCAAGAGGAAAGCTGCCCAGGCAGACAGCCACCAGGCCTGTCACGTGGCCAGGAGGGCAGCACCTGGCTGCCCATGGCTTCTGACAGGCTGCAGCGTGGTCTGGTCACATGGCAAGTGTGTTTCTGACCCCAGCACAGCTTCCTGTCGGCCACAGCTGCCCAGCACGGGAGGGCAGAGCCCCCACTCCCACTTCCCCTGGGGGTGGACAGCAGGGCCCCTGCGTCCAGGACTCACCCCACGCCCAGGCCCCCCAACCCCCAGGTCTCACGTCGTGCAGGGGGAAGGCTGCCCTGAAGACGCCCTGTGACAGCAGCTGGTCAATCCCAAACAGACCTTTCTTCTCGTGGCCGTAGGGGGTCTTGGCCAGGATCTCAAATAGCTGGGAGTGGAGGAGGAGGGCACTGGTCACCTGACCTGCGACGGCAGGGTGGGGCCATCCTGGCCCTTTGGTCGGTTGGTCCGGGGCTGAGCCCCAGGACAGCCTCCCACAGCCCTCTGGTTGTCAGCAGGGGACAGCCTCCCGGAGCAGCCCACTCGACCCACCCTCTCATGACTCTGCCCTGCAGGTTGGCTGTAGGCCTCGGCTCTCTTCATCCAGTGGCCGTGGCTGCCTGTCTCACAAGCCCATAGCCGTGCTACCCGCTCCGGGCCTCGGGTGGAGGGGGGACAGTTCCCAGGGGGCCCTGAGCAAGGCCCAACTGTGTGCAGTGAGGTGAGTCAGCCTCTAGGACTTCAGCTGGGGCCTCAGCCCTCAGATGGCTGAGAGCTGCCCCTGTCCCCAGAAGCCCCCGCTCCCAGCCTCAGGCTTGGGGGCCTGGGATGGGTCAGGGCTCGGGGACGTGGTGGGGACCCCCACTTACAATCTGGTGCCTGCTGGTGCAGGTGAAGAAGGTGTCCTGGTTGTCACTCCCGAGGAACCTGGGTGTGTGGGAGCGCAGAAGAGCTCGCACAGGCAGGAACACGCGCACGCACACTCACACACACACCTTCATCCCACACGCACGCACGCGGGGAACAGTCGCTGCTCCCGGCCATGTGATCAATTCCCATTTTCGCCTCTTCCTTTCTGGAGGCAGGAGGTCACAGAGGGCTTTCCAGATGGCACAGACACCCCCTTCCCAGACTGCAGCTGGCACGGGGCAGGGTGGTGTGGGAGCCCCAAGCTCAGCAAAGAGCCCTGTGGCCTCACACGCACCCCCTGGGGTGCCGAGCATGGGACCAAGGGCCTCGGGGGCGGTGTCTGGTGGTGGCCTGGGAAGAGGAGTCGTTGGCCAGAAGGCCCTCGACACCAGAATCTTGTCAAGCCCCGTGAGTGGGGCAAGGGTGGGTGAGGCTAAAGGCCCCCCAGTCCAGAAGGGCAGTGTGCTCAGCGTGGGCAGCGTGGGAGGCTTCAGTGCTGGTCACCCACATGGGTCCCCCCGCACCTAGACACTGCCTCCATCTGCAGGCTGGGTGCTCCTGGGAGAGGGGCTTCCAGGAGCCAGTGTGGACCGACCACGTCCATCTTTGGCCTCGGCAGCCGGAAGGCTGGGATGGGAGGGGGCCTCCTGTGGCCTAGGCCCAGGAGACCGTGATGAGCAGGGACCCTGGCACTCACCATGGGCCCACCCACACAGGACGTGGGCCTGTGTGTGCAACCACTAAGGTTCGGGGGACATTTGTCCCGCAGCACACCCTGCTTAGCCTGACTGATGGGGACATGCGCTAAAGCCTGCAACTCGCGCTCCCCAGTTGAAAAGCCCAGGGAAGGAGAAGGTTTGGGGGCAGCCAGCACCGCGTGAAGCTCTCACCGTGACAGCTTGCTCACTTTGAATTGGCAGGAGTAGTACTCAGGGGGCACGTCGGGCACCTCCTCCAGCAGGATGTTGGGGATGCCCAGCCACTGCAGCAAGCTGGCTGACCAGTTGGAGGCCTGGTTGGGCAACTCCTGGAAGGAACCGTCAGGGGTTTCTCCTGCCCGAGCAGACAGATGCCCCACGGGGTGGAGTGCGCAGGTTTGCAAACTGGGCAACAGGGCAGCCTTCAGGGTGGCTTAGTCGGTCAGTGTGAGGCCCAGAGGCCACAGGGTAGGAAGGGACAAGCGGGTAGAGGGGTCTGTAGGTGACAGAGCCCACAGGTGTGTCATCCCGAGGTCACCTGCTGTCCTCTCCGCCCTGTGTCCCCCAGCCTGGGGCTGCCCCGTCCCCTCACAGTGCTGGCCCCCAGGTGACCAGCTCAGAACCATGGCTGCTGCACACAGCGTCCCCCACCTCACCTTCCCTGAGTCCGCCATGGGGGACGGTGCCATCACCCCACCCTGTGTGCCAAATAATGCTTCTCGGGGCTTTGTGTGATGGTGGGTGGGAGGGGCCCTCGAGGACATCGAGCGGGGACCCCCAGGGTTGTCAGCACTGGGAGCTGCACCCAGCATGTGGGGTACAGTGATGAGTAGCCCTGGCCTGGGGCCTGGCTGCCCTGCGCCCCACGCACCCCATACCTGCAGAGGCAGTTTCAGGCGCAGGTCTTCCGCGTAGTAGCAGAGCACGGCCCAGGAGGCGCTGAGGAGGACGTAATGCACGGCACTGTCCTCGCCTTGCACATCACGCTGTGGGGACCCAGGGGCTCGTGAGAGCATGTGGGTGCATGCGTGTGCAAACATGTTTGCACACATGTGCATGCATGTGTGTGTGTGTGTGCCCACGAGTGTGCGTGTTCACACTTCTGGGAAAGGCAGATGTTTCTGAAGTCATAGTAACCACTGACCAGCTCTGGGTTTAAACCTTATTGGTCAGTGACAGCTTGCCTTCCGGGCCCCCAAAGCTGCCACCACAGCCTGGCAGGGCCTTGCTGTGCTCAGTGCTGCTCCAAAGGCAATACATTCGCCTTTCAGTTTTCAGATGCTGAAAACTGTGACAAGCTTCTGTGTGTATGTATGTTATGCATGTACACATGGAAGTGTACACATATGTGTGTGAATATATGGGGGCATCACTATGTCCACATGGGTGTGCGTGTGTGTGGTCACATGACAGCCATGTCCACACACACTCCTGGAGCCCCGAGATGGGGACTTTTAGTTCCATGGTCAAGTGTCTCTACTGAGTATGTTCCTGTTTCCCAAAGGCCACCTGTTAAATCTGGGGGTTCTTGTCCCTTGCCACATCACTGCCATCTGGGGTTCCCCAAATGGCAATTCCCAGGCCCCACTCGGGGCCAAGTGGAAGAGGTGTCCGGGGACAGGCCCAGGCTCAGCGCTGTGGGCATCACCAGGTGGCTGTCACGTGTGCTGAGAGCTGAGAACTGCCATTTAGACTGAAGACTGAGGGCACTTAGGGCAATGTGTCAGGGAAGCCCCTAATGGCACCCCTGTGGTTGTCTCTCTGTGTCCCCCACTGCAAGGTAAGCCATTCAATTCTGGATGAAGGTTTTGCAAACTCATGTGGCCTACCTACGAGCCACACTGTCCCACAAGCTTTCCCCATAAGAAGGGGGTCTTTTCATCCCCACCCACCAGACTGGCCAGCGGATCCAAACTCTTGTCCCCGGTCCTGTTGTATGTGTGTTCTCCCACAGTAGGGCAGCTCTGGAAGGGAGGGCCGGAAGCTGTGGCCTCAGGGTGGGGGAGGGTGAGCAGCAGGGGGAAGCAGCTATTCACTCAATACAACGAGCACAAAATGTGCGAACATGAGGGCGGGTGGGAAGTGACAGGCACAGAAGGTGGACGAGAGTTCACACTGGTTAAAACCAACCAGGACACTGCAGTGACAGCCAAGGGCCAGCCGGACTGGGGGACAGTGTTTGCCACAAGTAATCAACAAAGAGTTAGTGTCCAGAATACACAAGCGCACATGCAGTGATAAGAAAAAGGAAACAACCCCACAGAAAAAAGAGCAAAAGACAGGAAAAGGCAATTCTCAGTACTGGAAACACAACTAGCCCATAAACACGCAAAAAATGCTCAACCTCTTTAGGAATCGTGGAAAATGCAAATTAAAACGGCAGTGAGACTCCACTGCACGCCACCCAGATGGGCAAAACTTTAAGTCAGACAAAGCCAGATGTTGAGAAGACACAGAGCACCAGGTATCCTGCACAGCTGGCCGTGGGGCACATGGAGGTGCCACCTGGGAGCATGGTGTGGCCACACACACACCTGGGCCAGCAGCTCCATTCTCAGAAGAAATTCTGCACTGGGGCCCAGGGACACAATGTGTGCAAGAATCTGTAGCAGCCAGTTTTCATAACGGCCCAAACTGGGAGCAGGGCAAGCATCCGTTCACAGTGTGGGTCAATAAATCATGACAGAGTCACACAGTGGTGCTTGCTAAGCAAGGACAACGGCCCAGTGGCAGTGGCACTAACACAGCGTGATGTCAGGGGAATCACGCTGAGCACAAGTCCATTCCATCAAGTTCATACAACACCAAGTGGCATTGTTTGACAACAGAAAGTTGGTGCTCAGATGATAAAGACACACAAGTGGGCCGGCTGAGTGGCGCGATGGTTAAGAACTGGCTTGGGACGCCAGAGGACCCCGGTTCAGATTCCACATATGAGGGCCAGTGACACTGCCCTCTACAGCTAAGATGCTGAACAACAGCTCAACCTGGAACTGGGCTGCCGTGAGTCGAGTTGCTGGCAACGGCGTAGGCTGCAGCCCCTGCTGCAGTGGGTTGCCATGGGCTACCGTGTGTGGCCAGTAGCCAGCGTGAGCGGCCAGCAGCCGCAGTGAGCAGCCGTCCAGAAGCCGGCGACTGATCTGCCTCGCCCGGGAAGAGCGCAATGATGGTGCCAACTTGGGCCAGTGAAGCAACATCCTCCACAACTAGACTGAAGAACAAAAGGACAGCAACTTGTCTGTTCCCCTTCCCCCAATTCCCCAGCGCTGTTCCCATCCCCCAAATCCCCAATTAAAAAAAAAAAAGACACACAAGAATGTGAGTACATAAAATCCAGAGTTGATTACTCTGAGGAGGGGGCACCTGTGGACACAGCCTGCTCCTGGACAGAGGAAGGGGGATGGAAAGGAGGGCAGAGAACGCAGGAGATTGAGGGACCCGGCGACGGCAGAGCTGTGCTCTGCACCCATTCCCCCACTGCTCCGAGCCCCCCGCCCTCCTGCAGCCACACAGCTCTTTCTGCTTCCACGTGCTCCCTGCAGCTGCTTAACGCATTTGAAGTGGGACCGACTATTGCAACAAACATAATACGTATAGATGTTTTAGCTGTTAGAGTCTATAAACACACAAGACTTACAGTTAAAAATGTTGCACCTAGACACAAGTGTTCATGTTGGAGGTGGGACACATGAATGGAGAAGACAGCTTCTGAGCTTTCAGGTGAATCTGAAGGGATCTGGCTTCAGTAAGCTTGGTGGCTATGGTGGGCTTGATATTTAACTGAGGTGTGGGGCATCTGCTCTAGGTCTCAGGTGTCATGCCCTCAGGCCTTGTGGGGCAAGGTCATAGGTCACTGAGCAGATGCAGAGCCTAGGACCCTGCCCACAACCAACCCCACGTACCTGGTCCACATGCAGCCCAGCCACACGAAGGTTATCCAGAAACGTCTCCCTCCAGGCCCTGTGTGAGCCAGTCTTGTCTCGGCTGGTGTCCTGCTGCCGGCCCAGGTCTTCCTCCCAAACAAGGACAAAGTCTGCTGGAAACCAACAGGGACAGAGGCGGAGAGGATGGGCTAACTCAGGGATGCCAGCCCAGGGAGGGGGTGCCAGCATCCCAGCCAGGACACCCAGCTTCCAGGTGGGGAGCAGGGGCCAAGCGCTTGGACACTTGGCCCACTCCTCTGTACAATAAGGATGTGGTCATGGTCAAGGGAGCAACCTGCTGTCATTTGAGAACCAGAAGGAGAGAGTGGGAAAGAAGCAATCTTTGAAGAAAAATGGTCAAGAACTTCCAAACCTCATGAAAGGAATCAATCCAAAGATTCAAAAAGCTCAGTGATCCCCAAGCAAGATAAAGAAATACCGAGGAACACCATGTACAACACATCTTTGCTGTGCACTAAAGAGAAAGAGAAACCGTAATAGTGGCAAGAGAAAAAAACACTCATTTTTCATGGAATAATAATAATGACACCTGATTTCTCAATGAAACTATGGACCTCAAGAGACAATAGATTGTCACTTCGAGGGGTAAAAAGTATAACTATTGCACTGTGTTGTACAGCTGAAACTAATTCTAAAAAATGTGTATTTCATAATAAAAAGAGAATAGAACAGCATCTTTAAAGTTTTAAAGTGCTGGGGAGAATATGGCACACTGGAATTCTTTATCGGGCAGAAACGTTCTTCAGAGATGAAGGCTAAAGGAAGACCTTCTCAACACTCAAAACCTGGGAGATGGGTCCCAGCTATCTGCTCTGCAAGAAACACTGAAGGAAGCTCTTTAGGCCAAAGGAAATACTCTCAGATGGAAGTGCAGATGTGCAGGAAGGAATGAACACACCACAAAGGAGAAACATTTTGGGCAAATGTAAAAGTAGAACTATTTACAGATGACACCATCTTGTATGCAGAAAACCCAAAGGAATTCACTATAAAAACTATTAGAACTAATAACAGGTTTGGCAAGGTGGCTAGATACAAGCTCAATATACAAAAATCAATTGTATTTCTATACACCAGCAATGAACAATGAAACAAAGAAAAAAAATCCATTTACAACAGCACCAAAAAAAGGGAAGAAATTTAACAACAAAAAAGTGTGCAAGAATTATACATTGAAAACTACCAAATGCTGAAATAAATGGAAGAAGAACAAAGACATCCTTTGTGTATGAATCTGCATGAAGAAGACTAATATCGTCAAGATAGTAAACTGATCTATAGATTTAATCCCTATCAAAATTTCAGCTGCCTTTTCTTGCAGAAATTGACGTTTAACGTTCATGTGGAAATACGTGGGACCCAGAATAGCTGAACAATGTTGAAAAAGAAGAACAATGTAGTAGGACTCATGCTTTTTGATTTCGAAACTTACTACAAAGTTAGAATAGTCAAGAAATGTGGTACAGGCACAATGATAGGCGTATTGATCACTGGAATGTATTTTGTGATTCTGAATATAAACCCACATATTTATGGTCAAGTTTTCTACAAAGGGGCCAAGACAATTCAATGGGAAAAGAACAGTGATTTCAGCCAATGGTGCTGGGAGAAGGGTTATATAAAGGAATGAACTTGGATTCCTACTTCATACTCTACAGAATTAACTCAAAGCAGGTTAAGAACATCAGATAAAAATCACAGAACTAAGGATAAAAACTAAAATGGTAAGACTCTTGAGAGAAAGCAGACTTGTAAATCTTCATGACCTGGTTTAGGCCATGATTTCTTAGATATGACACCAAAGGCACAGCAAGAAAAGAGAAGATTGGTAAGATGGACTTCATCAACATTAAAAACCTACATGCTTCAAAGGACACCATCAGGAGTGTGAAAAGGCAACCCGGAGAATGGAAGAAAAATATATGCAAATGATATACCTGATAAAGGACTTATATCCAGAATGTATAAAGCACTTTTACAACTTAACAATAAAAAGACAAATAACTCAATTTTAAAATGGGCAAAGATTTTGAATAGACATTTCTCTAAAGAAGATACACGAATGGCCAATAAGCCCATGAAAACATGCTCAATAGCATTTGTCATTAGGAAATTGCGAATCAAACCACAATGAGATGCCACATCACCCATCAGGACAGCTACAATGAAAAGACAGACAATGACAAGTATTGACCAGGATGTGGAGAGATTGGAACCCTCACCCATTGCTGGTGGTTTATAGAATAGTGCAGTCACTTTGGAACACAGTTTGGCAGTTCCTCAGAATGTTAAACATTGAGTCACCATATGACAGAGCAATGCCACTCAAAGGTCTACACCCAAGACAGAGGCACACTTATGTCCACGCAAAACCATGCATATGAATGTTCACTGAGGCACTATTTGCGATAGCCCCCAAGTGGAAACAACCTAAATGCTCGTCATCACTTCCCTTGGGTGCATCCCCAGAAGCGGGGTTGCTGGGTCACAGGGTCGCTCGGTGTTTAATGTTTTGAGGACCCGCCATGCTGTTCTCCATATTGGCTGCATCTTTTCACATTCGCACCAGCAATGCATGTGGGACTATCCCTTCATCCTGCCCGACACTTGTTATTTTCTGGGTTTGTTGTCTGTGTTGATTTAAAGAGCAGCCATCCTGATGGGTGTGAGCTTAGGGAGTCTGCTTCCAATAAGGCTCTTTCTGGTGCTGCCTGGACAGCAGGTCGGGCGGACGGCACTGTGAGCCCAGGGGCGTGCAGTCCTCTGGGGGAGACGATGGTGGCTTGGGGCAGACAGAAGCACTGAGGGTGGGGTGGGAAGTGGATCTGATCGATTTTGAAGGTAGAAAAGGTATGGGGCACAAGAGATAGGAGTCTGCGATGACTCCGAGTTGTCCTGAGGCCAGAGCAGGGGGAGGTGGGCACCCCCTCTGCCCTCCAGAGCACTATCAGCAGGGAACCCCCTTTCCTGCTGTCACGCCAGGCTGTGTTCTGCTCCCCCTGAGGCCTTCACCCCATTTCCCAGCACAGCAATTGGCCTCATAGCTGGCTCAGGAGATAGTGTTGGGTGAGGGAGGGGCAGCTTGGTTACAGAGGCCTGCTGTCCTCCTGCTGCCACCTGCGGGCGCCCCATCTGTGTCCCCACCCCCAGGACCAACACAGGCACAGCTGGCAGATACTAGAAGAGGCTCACCGATCCGGGGATTGGCAGGGGTCCCCACCCTGCAGGCGGCCGCCTGGTGTCCACCTGGCTGGAAGGAAAGCATCTGACCATGAGGACCTGCCCCTGTCCTTCCCCCACCCTGCCCTAGACAACCCAGGGACACGAAAGGACAAGTCGAGGAATACACGCCTGTTGGGTGCGGGCAGGGGGTTCGCAGGCACATCCAGGGGTGAGGCAGCCCCATGCCCCTCCAGCCTCCCTGAGGACCTTAACGGGCCTCTGAGCAGCTGGCCAGGGCTGTAGACGAGGCTCAGGTTTGCAGGCAGCATGGCCAGTAGCCAGGGGTGCCCACCCCTGCTGGCCTCCGGGAGCTACAGGGGGAGCCAGGCTGCCCCCTAAGTGGCCCTGTGGACGGGCCAGAGGTGGTAATGGTGTCCAGAGGGTGGAATCCTGTTCTAGGTGAGCGAGGCCTTGTGTGCCTCCCACCCCCCGGAGGCTCATCACTGCTGTGTTGGGGGGCAGCAGGAAGGGGTGCCCATGCCCACTCTCCGCCATGGGGTTGGGGTAGGCAGCACCCTGGATGCAGACACAGGGCACAGGAGGACGGAGAAGAGGACCCTGCCAGGGACAGCCCCACTCGGGGTATCTGTCACCCCAGGGACAGGAGTGGGAGCCCTGTGTCCCCCCTTTTCCCTTCCCTGCTGGTGGTGGGCTCTGGCCATGCCCCGCCTCTGCCTGGACTGGCCTAGTCAAGCCTGTCCCCAGGGGCTTCTGCACTTCTGACTGAACGTCAAGGATGCCTCCCTCTTCTCGTCACCAGGCTGCTGGATGGCACAGGAGGGACACGCAGCAGGTGAGGGCTCGGGGTCGCGGGGAACTCAGACAGGAAATCACGTCATGGGGCACTGCTCGCCTCCAAAGGCTCGGGGCTGGTGCTCAGCCCTTGTCTCCCGGTCTCTGTGTCCATCTCGGGGATGGGGGCTCAGGGACACCCATCTCAATCCACCACAGACCAGGGGCCTGGAGCCCAGGGAAGGGAGGCGAGGGGCCGCCCCGAGGGCCTCCGGTCCCCCAGGCCCGGGTCAGTGTGGAGAGTTACCTCGGAGGTGCTGGCTGTGCTCCCGTAGGAGTCCCCCTTCTCGGGCCTGGAGGCCATGTCGATCAGGACAGCGGTGTCCTCGCCCTGGGCACGCCGCTGCAGCTTCCCGCTCCTGTACCCCACCAAGACCAGGGTGGGGACGGGTAGAGAGGGGGCACATGAGACCTGGTCCTCATACCCGGCACAGCCTGCCGCACACCCACCTCACAGGTGAGGACGGGCTTGGAGCCTCGGGCAGGGCCAGGCCGAGCTGTGCGAGGACCCCCAGACTGGGCCTCTGGCTCCAGGAGGGGACCAGGGCGAGGGAGCCACCGTCCATCCTTCCGTCCTGAGCGCCCACGTCCCCTCCGCCCTGTGTGGGCAGCAGGCCTCAGGGGCTGGGTGGGGGCCTCGGAGTACAGCTGTCCCTTCCTTCTGCACCCTTGCAGGAGACAGAAAGACGGGCCTGGCTCCTCCTGGGAGGCTGGCCTGGCCACGCTGACCCTACGTCCCCCACACCGGCCTCTGCATTCCTCTGTGGGAAGGATGGTCGCCACTGTCCCCATGGAAGGGTCAGCAAAAGGGGGTGAGAGGACACCTGTGGCCGGAAAGGGGTTGATTTGAGCCAGTGCTGGTGGCTCAACCTAGCAGAACCAATGTGGCCCCGAGGGATGTCATTAGGGCCACAATGCTGGGAGGGTGTGAGGGCGGAGGAGCCGCAGGACGCCAGAGCAGGCAGCTCGTCCTGCCCACATAACCTGAGGTCTGGACAGGCGGCGATGACAGCCTGCACCTCCTGACCCCTGCCAGCTCCCAGATGCCCAGGGCCAGGATTCATGACAGCATGGCATGGTCCCGGGTCCAGGGCTGGGGGACCCCAGAGCCAGTGCGGGTCATGGGGCAGCAGGAGTCCCTGCTGTGGTGGGCAGATGGGGGCTTCTCGGTGCTCTGCTCAGGGGGACGAACAGGGGAGGCCCCAGCCACAGAGACCCGGAGGCGAGCTCTCCGTGGAGGGTCTGCTGCAAAGGTGGGGGTCCTCTGCCCAAAGCTTCACTGGGCACCTGGCCCTTGTCACCCCCTAGGGCCTGGATCAGATACCATGCGTGGTCTCGGGGCACCAGGGTGAACCCTGGAGCGTCTGCCCAGAGGGAGCCCTGATGGGCTGGGGTGCTCACTGCCCTCCTGGAGTCCTCCTCCCCACCTCCCCGTGCCCACGTAGAACAGTCCCCACCTGGCACAGCGGCTTCCAGAACAGGCCTCCGAGGTCATGGCTAAACTCCCAGCTCCAGCCTGGTCTGGCAGCTGAGTCTGGCCAGCCCTGCGGGCAGAGAACTGGGAGGGACCTGTGCTCGTGGCCCTGCGCAGGTGGTGACAGTTTTCATGTCCTCACCCTCCCAGCAGAGGGGCAGGCCGGAGAGGTGCCTGGCACGGTGGCCAGGGCAAGGCCTCCCGCCCCTGGAACAGGATCTGCCTTTGTTTGGAAAGGGGGTGTGAGCTCCGTCTGCAAACAGGCCCAGCATTTTCCTAGAGCCTTCACATACCCCGCCTGCAAATGCCACTGTCCTCCCCAGCTGACGACACGGCTCATCTTTCTCCCCTTGTTTTGCTGAAGGGCTTCAGGGCCCATATCTGTTCCACTGTGTGGGGGTGGGGACAGGCAGAGCTCAGCTGGGTGGCCACACGTGTGGGCTCCATCATCTCCACCTGGTGGTGTGCCCAGGTGGGCTCCGTCGTCCTCACCTGGTGTGGCGGACACATCTGGGGACCCAGGTTGCAGACCTGGCTCTGCCACTTCCTGGGTGTGGCCTCAGGCGTATCTCATTGGCTCAGGGCCCATCTGTGACAGGGCTGCAGCCCTGCTCACTGCAGGGAGGGTGTCCCAGCCCTCCTGCCAGTGGCCCTGGGCCTATCTCCTGGAGCCTACTCACCCACGCGTGCAGCCCCCAGGCATGGCTGTTCTCCTTGGTGCCCTCACCTGCCTGACCCCCACGCTCCTCCCAGGAAGCCCTTGGACAGCAAGTCCAGCCCCTGCGGGCCAGGCTCTCTCCTTCACGCCCAGCAGAGCCCGGGCGGTTGTGGGGACACCCTGGGCCTGAGAGCAGCTGCACCGAGGTGTCTGTCTGGGGTCAAACTTTTCCCACACGGACCCCGAGGTGGATTCCTGTGTGGGGACCAGGCTGGCGGAAGTGCTCAGGACTCAGGAGGAGTGGGAGGTAGGCGGCAAGGGGGGCAGGTGGGCAGAGGGTGGCCTCAGCTGGACCCCATGGGCCTCTGGAGGGGACTCATGGGTGGAGGACACATATGTGGAGACACCCTGGGTACAGTTTTCAATTTTTACTCTCTACAATGTCTTATGGTTTGAAATTTTTTCAAGTTGCATTACTTTTACAGTTTTAAAAAGTTGAGAGAGAGAGAGAGAGAGAGAGAGAGAGAGAGAGAGAAAGCTCCAACCAGCACAGGTGTCTCATTGGGTCCTTAGCACTAGGAAGAGCCCAGGCCCAGGATTTGCTACACCAGCTTTATTTGACTATAACTATTTTATATTCATTTATGCAACGTTTACAGATACATTTGGTGGAAGTAAAAAAAAAAAAAAAGCCTCCAGCTACTGTGGCTGAAGTAAGAAGATGTTACTCAGCTCACAGGAAACAGTGAGGTGGGGGCACCAGGGTGGGTTCAGTGGCCGCAGGAAGTCAGGACCACAGCCCTTGCCTCATGACTGCAGGATGGCTGCAGCAGCTCCATCCCTCAGGCCCATGTTTTTTTTTTTAAAGATTTTTATTGGGGACTTGGGGGGATGGGAACAGTGCTGGGGAATTGGGGAAAGGGGAACAGACAAGTTGCTGTCGTTTTGTTCTTCAATCTAGTTGTGGAGGACGTTGCTTCACTGGCCCAAGTTGGCACCATCATTGCGCTCTTCTCTGGAGAGGCAGATCAGTCGCTGGCTTCTGGACGGCCGCTCACTGCAGCTGCTGGCTGCTCACGCTGGCTGCTGGCCACACACGGTAGCTGCTGGCCACACACGGTAGCCCATGGCAATCCACTGCCACAGGGACTGCAGCCCACGCCGTCGCCGGCGACTCATGGCAGCCCAGCTCCAGGTTGAGCTGTTGTTCAGCATCTTAGCTGTGGAGGGCAGTGTCACTGGCCCTCATATGTGGGATCCGAACCGGGGCCCTCTGGCGTCCCAAGCGAGTTCTTAACCATCGCGCCACTCGGCCGGCCCCCTCAGGCCCATGTTTAAGGCAGCATGCCAGCTGCTCCTGCCCTTTTTCTTAGGAAAGCAGGTGTCGTCAGTTAAACATGAGTCTCAGGCTGTCCCTGGCCATAGGGCAGTCTGGGAAGGGGACAGATCTGTGGGACTGCTTCAGAACAAACGTGACTCCTGCCTGCGGTGGGCACCATACCGCTCTGAACAGAATTGCTGGGTGAATGGCCGCGTAGTTACGGCCAGCGGGATGATTCCTCTGTCTTCCTGAGGTTCACATGCCCTGCTCACGGCCTGAGGGGTGGGCCACAGGGGGGTCTCAGGCTTCCTGGGCCCGGCTGTGCTACCCCGCTCACTCACCATGCTCCGCCCTCCGCTGCCCTCCAGGCCCCTCCCTGCTCCCAGGCCCCACCCCTGTCCCCAGGCCCCACCCTGCCCCAGACTCCTCCCCTGGTTCCACCTCTCCCCCAAAATTCCTCTCTGCACAGAGCAGCAGCCTCCTCTGGGTGGCCACCAGGACCGCTCACTGCCCATTTGCTGCCATCCTCTCTGCCTGCCCCTTGCCCCATAGGCACTTCTGTTCCCCCAGCCTAGGCTCCAGGTCCAGCATATCTGCATGGCTGTCCCCCTGCCCTGGCCCTCCTCAGGGACCCTTCTCAGCAGCACTTCCCAGCCATGCCAGCACCTCGCCCCATTCCCTGTGCTGCTCCCTCTCTCTCTTGCAGCCCACCTGGGACCCTCCACAGCCTGCGGTTCCCCTCCCCCAGGCTCTTCCGGCACCAACTCCAAGCCCAGAAGTCGAGGTGTTCAGGCCCCCTTTGCCCACTCACCGGCCCTTTCCGGACTGCGCTGCCAACGGCTTCACTCCCTGCTCCCCATCCTCAGCCCCTGCCACTGAGCTGCTCTGGCTAGTTTGGCCCCTCTTCAGGGTCACCTTGCTCAAGCCGGATTAAGTGACTCGTCAGAGAGCCCGTTCAAAATGCTCGGCTTTTCTTTTTGTCCGAAGAATGAATCACCTTTTAAATATGTAATTCTTATTTATTATGGTTATTGTCTAATCCACTCCCCCTCCACTGCACCTGAAGTTTACAAGGGCAGGGATTTAAAAAACTTGCCTGTGCCCTGAAGTCCCTGTTTCCCACAGTGGGAACGGCACGGAGTAGGTGCTAAGTGCTTGTGGCTGTCTCTTCTGGTATCAACAGTGAACCTGCCTCCTCTCCCACCGGCTCCCCCCCCCGCTTCTAAAAATCAGTCTCCTGGGCTTTGTGTTTGGCTGTTTCAGATTCAAGGGGGAGGGGCAGGCGGTGCTGGCCGCCCTGCGCTCGTGGGTGCTCTCGGCCCGGATCCCGGAGGCCTCCCCGAGGCTTACACCCCCGAGCCCGTCCGAGAACCCTCCTGTTTGGAGGCGTTCTTGGAGAGCCACCCTGTCCCTCTCTAACGGACATGTACTTGATGTGGCTGTGGCCTTGTTGGTCCCCAGTGCAGGCATCAGGCATCGTGGGTGTTTCTGATGGAGCTCATGTGCGAAGGGCCAGACAGGAGGGGACTCCCACGAGGACATGCCAGCTCCTCCTGGCCCCCACCGGCCCCGGAGCTTCCGGAGAGCCTGGCTTCTGTGGTGTGCGAGGCTCCCTGGTCCAGCCTACACTTCCGCTGGTGGGGCCGCTCCCTGGCTTCTCTGAACACCTTTCCTGTGCCTGCTCTGTCCTGGTTCCTCTCTTCTTCCGTGGCTTGTGGGGTTCTTTACATCTAAACATTAGGCCCTGGCCAGTTTTGAACATTGCCAACACCTGCTGCCTGCTACGGGGAGTGTGTGTGTGTGTGGGTGTCCATTCAAGGTGATCCCTTCTACGGGAATTTTCACTTTTATGTCAACAAACCCAGCTCAGCCTAGTCCTGTGCTGTGCTTGGGGGTTTTAAGCTCCGCTCCGCTCCACTCCTCACAGATAGCTTCTATTCTACCTTTCACACTGACGTTTGCAGTCTTCTGTCAGCCTGCAGGGAGTGGGGAGATGGGGAGGAGACGGAACCTTCAGCTGCCTGCCTGCTGCCCCCACCCCCCCATCCTGTCTGCCCGGCTGACTGGCCTAATGTGGCTGTTACTGTGGGTCTGTAGCTTTCAGAATCTGGCAGGAAATCTGACTTGATGTTTTTCCATAGTTGGCTGGACTTTCTCAAAGTTTCAGGGTTTAGTGTGGATTTTTTTCTTCCATATACATTTTCAAGTTTAATGAGTTTCTTAGAGAATCAAATGGAATATTGATAGGGATTGTGCTGGGTTGGTATACCTTTCCCCTTCCTTTCAAGCTTTGTGTGTATATATATATATATATATATATATATATATATATGTATTTTCAAAGGAACAGAAGCTGGATTTCATCTTGTCACCGTTCTGAGTGCCATTCCACTCATGGCGCTGCCCTGTCCCCTCCCGCCGGAGCAGCCTGCTCCGCCGGCCCACAGCGCCCCCTTGAGCCCTTGTTCTTGAGCCTTGTCCCGGGTCCCCTTTGCTTGGAGGTCCTGGTTTGTTTTCCCCTAGTTGTGAGTTGGACGTTTCCTAACTTATTTCTGTTCCATTAGTGGAAACTTTAAACTTGCATTTTCCCACAAACTCTATTGCTCCCTTTTTCTAGACGAAGGTGAATTGTACAAGCTTTACTTTTTCCTGCCTCCCAGACTGAAAATACTAACCTTGCTGTTCAGATCACTGGTCATTCACAGTGGCCTCAGTTTGCATCTGTCACGAGCTCTGTCCTTACATTGCAAAGGGCTCTATAAGGGCATCAGATACACTTTTAAGGAAAGTTTTGCTGGTTTTGGTGCATGTTGCTACTGCTTCTAAATCGCAGTCCCCTTAAGCTCTTTCCCTGGATTCTTTTGTTTGGGTAGAAATCTGACCAAATGTTTCAGCATAGCACCCATATCCTGAAAGCCTGTGTCTAAAAATGTCTCTCTCATCCCCAGACACCAACGGTGTGTGGCTGAGGGCAGAATTCTCAGGTCCCAATCCAAAGGGGCTGTGCCCTAACCTTTCCTTTCCAAAGAACTTGCTTTTTAATAGGTAGTTGCTCATAGTCAGGTCACACAATTTATTTTGGCAAAGATTAGAGTTGGGAATTGGACATGACCGTGAAGCTCAGGGTAGCCGCTGCCATGCTTACGGCTTTCTGGGCTGTTGACACCCGCCGCCCGGCGACCCCCCACGCACCCAGGCCCAGGGCAGCCTGATTCCGGCTACATCTCAGGGTGGGGAGCAGTGCTGGTGGGGGAGCTTTCTGTGACGGTGCAGGCGGGCTGCCCCTCGCGAGGTGGCGACTGAGCACCTGAAATATACTGAGTGCCACCAAGAAATTGAATATTCCCTTTCACTTTAACTAATTTAAATTTTAACCGAAGCCGCACGTGTGGCAGTGAGTGGCTCCCATCCTGGACAGTGCCAAGGGACCTGTGGTGACCCCATGTAAGCCCTCATTCTGCACAGGGGAGATCTGACATCCTGAGGGATGACAGGTCCTTCCTTGTACATTAAATCCAGACCTCGGTGACTGTGGCGGTAAATCTGGTAAAAGACAAGCTAGCACAATGACGGGGTAAGGTAAGAACGGGGAGGTGGGGGTGAGGGACGGTATTAAAGGCGGTTGACAGGTCAGCTCTGTGTAGTCTTGGGGGAGGCTTAGGGGTGGTCAGCGGCACAAGGCACCACCGACGTCACAGGGCCTGGGGGCTCAGTGACCTGCATGCGCCACTGCAGTCACCCAGGCTGAGTCATCCTTTACTCACTGTGTGGTTATATCGTTTTTTAAAAACTGCACCGACTGGTCTGGAGGACTGAAAAGCTCTGGGCGACAGGCTAGAGGACTGCTGGACGGCCCCTGAATGCCCACCTGGCAGCACGTGGACGTCTGACGGCGCTTAGACCCTCAGGTGGAGGTGTCCTCTGACAAAGAAAGAAACACCAAAACGGCAGCGGGGGGCACAAGTGGTGCAGCGGCCGCGACGATTAGCTACTGACGGCATGTGGTGGCGGGTAAAGGATGGTGTCGCAGCGGTGAGTGGGCATCGCACGGCAGTTATCACTCAGTGCCTTTTTATTGCCATTGGGTTTGTGACTTGATATAGTGATGATTTCTGGAGCAACGGACGGACTAAAAAATCATGGCTGGGAAGCTGTTTTGCAGAGGGGGCCAGGTGAGTGCGGGGTCAGAACCTGACGAAGGTGGCATCGATCTGCCGCACGGAGGGCAGGGCCAGCATGACCTTCCGCCTGTACTGCGGGTCCCTCTGCAGAGGGTTGCGCTCCAGGTAAACCGTCTCCAGGCTCTTGGCTCCCTTCAGCTCGTCCAGGTCGCTCCAGCTGTCCAGGAGATTGTCGTTCATCTGGAGGACACACACACACACACACACACACGAGAAAAGCTGCCTCAGAACAGAACGGCCCCGACTCTCCCGCAGCCGCCCCTACCTCTGGGTGTGAGGCCACTGTCAGAAGACAGTGTCACTTGGTAGTAAGTCTGGCCACCTTTCAGCAGTGCCCCCAGTGGAGAGTACTTGCTCACGCCCAGAATCTGGGCCACCTCACATGCCAGGGAAAAGGCAAACGAAGATCAGCTGGGAAAAGCCGCAGCAACAGGGACCACAGCTCCCGCCTGCCTCCAGGTCCGTGCGTTTGCTACAGACCAGTTCTCAGCCACTGTCCCTGAGGCCTGACTGTGTGCTCTGACGTAACCTGCCTGCAGCAGCAGAGGCTACTCTCCCGTGAGTTGCCCTCCTTGGGCTCCCCCTTGTTCTACCAGGATGCCCACTGCCAGGCTCGGTGGTGTATGCGCCCCACCGCGGCTGACTCCACACTGCCCACGTGACGTCCCACAATGTGAAACTTCAGGAGGACGGGCTCAGAGGCCTGAGTTGCAAGCTCAGAGCCGGTTGGATTTTACATCCTGACTGCCAAGGCTCACTTGGAAGGGACATGCCGCCTGGAGGGGACCCGCCTTAGCCAGAAGAGTTCTCCCACTTTACAAAGCACCATCAGGATAAGGGCATTAGGGGCTCCAGGTTCACAGTGCCCATCACAGCGTCTGCATATAACGCCCACTCGGTCCACACCTGTCTAGCGGATGCTCGCGGCCCCTCTGGTGGGGGCAGGGCAGGAGGCTCTGAGAGACAAGGCCCCTTGGTTTCTATTAGAATATGGCAGAGGGACAAGTAAAATCAGACAACACAACTACCTCTGAGAATGCAAGGTGCACTCAGCTGCCTGATAAAGGCTGAGGGGGACAGGGCTGAGGACGGGCACACGTGGAGCAAGTCACCACGGCTCAAGGCAGTGGTGTGCTGGTAAACGTTTAGCAACTGGCTCCCAGAAAAACTAAAAAGCCTGGATTTGCAACGTCTGCCAATGCCTGTGGTGTAAATACCTCACGTGGCTGATTTTGTTAGTTTTTTATGCAGCCTTTTTTTCAAACATATATACTTCAACAGAGTCAATGTTACATGTAAGTTTTTCCTATTCTTTTAGAATATACTTTTCTAAACTCTTTTTAAATTATAAAAGAAATACATGCTCATTACAGAAAACTTAGAAGAACCAAAGAGTATAAAAAGAAAACCAACTACATATTTACAATCCAGAGATAATGGCTTCTTGTTTCTGCATCTTTCCTTCTAGACTTTTCTTCTGCATGTCTGAGTCCACGGACAACTGGGTCTCACTCCAATACCCTGCACCTTCCTTTTCTCATCAGCACTAATTGTGAGCATTTTCTGTAATTAAATTTCCTTTATAAACATTATTTGAAGGCCTCATCTTATGGTGGCATAATATTTCCTCACATGGGCACATCATAACTTATTCATTATTCCCTAAGTTGGAGAAATATACTTATTAAAAAACAACAACAAAGTGTTAGAAGAAAGTCAGGTGTTTTTATAAGCTTTGGGTTTATAACCTTTTCTAAACTGACTCGAAATCCAGAAAACCAAGGAAAAGACATAGATTTGTCTTTTCTGTAACCAAATCATTTTATTTTTACAATAGCAGTTGTAGCATGAGAAAATACAACAAAGCTATTTTCACTGTAAAAAAATAAACCCTGATATTTATATATTTTTGTACATAAATCTTTGTCTGAATTTCCCCCCATTTTGTTAGACTCTTTGGTGTGAAAACATTGAGGCTCTGAGCACCCCACAGGGAACGTGTGCTAACCAGAGTCCTCCTGCCAGTAGCCAGGTCTGCCATTGGCATTGCAGACTGGTTACCATGTGTTCTACACAAGTCTTTGCTAATCTGAGCCCAAACGCTGTATCTCATTGTGTTAGTGCATTTTAAGAAATTAATGAGATAGAAAACGTTTTACATATTTATAAGCAACTGTTTTTCCTTCCCCTGTGACTGGCCTGTTTCTGCTCTGCCCAGGTTTTCAAATGGCGTTTGCATGGGCCTTCTTTAATATAAGGATACCAACCCTCGTCGGGGATTTCTGTGTAAGCGTGTTCTCCACATACCTACAGGTCACCTCCCCCTGAAGGCCCCTCCTGGAATCCGACTCCTCCCCTGCCTGCTGCACAGGGTCAGCCGGGAGAGCAGTCCAGACGCCACGAAGGTGGGCTCTGCCTGTTCTTGCTGTCTGCCCACTGGTCAAAGACACAGGGCTCTCTGTGGTCACAGGGCCAAGGGCTAGCCAGCCTCCAGCGGTCACCGGCCAGCCTGCCTGCCTCCCTGGTAGCTGGGGTGCCCAGTTGGTCCCTACCTGCTCTCAGCTCCCGTGTCCCATACTCTGTCCCTTGACAGGGCATACATATAGAGGGACCTCACACTTCAGAGGACTGCTTCGGTGTCAGCGGTCTCCTATATTTTCTGCCAGGTGCCCTCTCGCTGTGGCACAGGTCCTCTTTCTCTGGTTTCTCAGTGTGGCTCCCTGGACTCCCCAGAGCCAACCCCCTTTGCTCCCAGCCCAGCAGCCACCAGCCACAAGGCCCACGTGGCTCACTCAGCCGCCCAGCCTGGCACACCTTCACCCCCTCACATTCTGGTCTCCCAGACTTGCTCTGGCGCCACACTCAGACACCACCCAAACCCCAGGGTTATTAAGGGGCCACCTGGGTTCTAAGGAGACTTAGGTGCTCTCTGAAGAGGGGGACGGGAAAGCACACAGGACGTCAGCATGGCGAGGCCAGGAGGAACCACGCCTTCGACTCAGCTCATATCTTGGACCAGAACGGATGCACCCAGGACAGCACTCACTTCAGTGTCACAGGAAGGGACCTGAGCCACTGAACCCTGCAGAGGCCGTGAGCCCAGGGAACACCCTCAGGGGTCTGACCGAGGACCTCAACTCGGCCATCATTTAGCAACCCATTTTGACACTGTGTCTTCCGACTGGCTCCGTGACACTGCTCCCCAAACCACACCTGTAACCACGAGCCGCACACACAGCAGAGGCCAGGGGGTCACTGCAGCAAGCCAGCCTGTGTCCCTTGCGCTGCTGAGGCCCTGAGTCACAGGCAGCTCTAGGCTCCCCACACACTTCCGGGCTCTCACTCTGAGCGCCCTGATCACCTAGGACCTTGTCAGAGTGCCAGCTTGGAGTCAGTCTGCGTATTGGGCACAGTGGGTGTGGTAGGGCCGAGACCTGCACTGTTAACAAGCTCCCGGCGAAGCCCATGCCAATCTGCGATGACGGCAGTGCAGGCCCCCCACTCCACGCCCAACCACCCCCACCCCACGGGCCCCCCACTGTACTCCAGGCTCGCAGGGCTGGAGCTTGTGGCACTCACTGCACTTTATTCAGTGGGACCAGTTTAGCCGAAGTGTCATCCGTCCCAGGGGGTGCTGTACTTACCCAGAATTCCTGCAGCTCTGTTAGATGGCTGATATTTTCTATCTTTTTGATTCTATTTGATGCAATGTCCAACATTGTGAGTTTGTTCTAAATAAGGAAATAAAATTTTCCTGGATTGCTGCAGCTCAACTGTGATTTCGTGACCAGGCACACAGTGCCAGGCGCTGAGCTGAGAGCTGTAGACATGCCACCCTCTCCCAGAACAGGAGCGAGCCAACGGGGACGATGGCCCCTGCACACTGCTGGCAGCCCACCTGGGCCGGAACACAGCACCCTCACAGCCACCCCATCGAGATCTTGTATCGCTGGGATTTGAAATGGGTTTTGTCAGATTCCAAGCCCTGGGCTCCCAGGTCCCCATCCACAGGACCCAGTGAGATGGTGGCGCTGGGCACAGCACCGTAACCCCTGCTGAAAAGCACAGGGAGGCCCAGGGGGAATGGCAGGGACATGGTGAGTGCTGAGCACCTGAACCTGGCCGGGCCTGTGCTGTCACGCCTAAGCTGTCCTGTGCTGAGTGAGAGCAGGCTGGGCAGGGGAGGGAGGAAGTGGGCTGGCCCGTCCTCACCAGGGTGGTGACAAGTGGAAGGGGAAACGACCTGCAGGGGCTCCCAGAGTGGAGGCTACTCATCCTGCACAGCTGAGATGAGCTGTCCCTGTGGCTCCTGCCGACTGGGACGTGGCCCCTGCTGGCCAGGAAGTGTGTGGCCAGTGGAGCGCAAGAGAGACACAGCTGCCGCCACCTGCTAGCCCTCTGTATTTAGGGATGGACAGGAGCAGGTAGGGCTTGTTTTTTAAAATTCTGTGAACGCTGCCCCAGCGAGGGGCCCCTCTGAATCCCTGTGCTGAGATGACGCCCCGGCTGTCGTGGTCAGCTCAGGGCTGGCTCGGGGTCAGCTGCGCCCAACCGCATTTGTTTCATGCATTTCCCATGTGAGGAGGGGTCACTCTGTTTGCAGGATTGGAAGGTCTCTATGATGAACCTCTGGACACTGTGTGTCCACCTCAGAGCAGCCCTGGAGGCAGCCTGCCATGCGGCCCCATGCCCACGCCGCCCAGAAGGACACATGGATGCCTTACATTGTTCTCCAGGCCCTCGATGGCCTCGATGCCGTTGTGGCTGAGGTACAGCTCCCGCAGGTTCACCAGGCTCTGCAGCCCCTCGATCTTGGTTAGCCGGTTGCTCTGCAGGAGGGAGAGTGACAGCTCAGATTCACGTAGAGGGCACGACACTACACAGCTGCTAGGAAACAAGGTTTCTTAGCTTGACGATTCTGCTAACAGGGCATCTATTTCATTTAAAATGTGCCCAGCCCGAGCTGAGCAGCCGCTGAGCTGCCAACAGGTAGCAGGATGGCTCAGCTAAAAAAAAAAAAAAAAAAATGCCAAAATGGGACTTAGGTATGGAGAAAAAGATCCAAATCTTGGCTAAGATTCATGTGGGGGTTTAAAGGTTTTTATGCAAAGAACGCACTTTTTTTAGATGTACTTGGGTTAAAGTCTACCTCATTTAATTCAGTAATTCAAAAATGTCTAAATCGCTGAATATTTAAAATAAGTTAATTCTCATTTCTTTCAGCATATAATATATCGTAACTCAAATTAAAGTATAAAGCCCCGCCAGGCCGTCCCCAGAACACCCCAGCACATCTTGTCTCCTGCGTCCGATTCCCTCATTGGCTTCCGACAGAAGCCAGGAAATTCAGGTGCCGACTGATTTGCAAACACGGGGTTGGGGCTTGGCATGGATGTGGAAGGAATCGTGCCCACTAGTGAGCCAATGCCATAGGAGCACCTGAAACAAGCTCAAACTTCTAAAGATGCCCCTTTGCCTACAACCCAGCAGGGACTTCTATTAGGAAAAGGAATGACACCCATAAAGAAGTCTTCGTCCAACATGTGCACACACATGTACAACACGTGTTTTGGTTGCTGGGGATCATGGACACAGTGGGAGACAGAAACTACTTGTTTAGCAGCCCTGATTGGGGGGGGGGTTGGGAGGGGTCCACGCAGGCCCTGGGGGTGGGGGAGTGGGCAGGCCCTAAGGGGGACAGGCAGGTGCTGTGTGTGTGTGGGGGGCAGGCCCTGGCGGGGGCAGGCCCTGTGTTAGGAAGGGATACAGGTGGAGCGTACCTGCATACTGAGGACTGTCAGGTTGGCAAGGGCGTCCAGGTTCTGAAGTTTAGTGATCTTGTTTTTCCCCAAAAACAAACTCTCCAGACTGGTTAATGTGTCGATATTCTCAATGGCCTGTGACAAGGACAGAGAGCAGCTAGCACTGTGTGGCCAACCAGCTCCCCCAGGGAACAGGAAGGAGATAACACTCTCTGGATTTCAGCCCTGGGATGTCAGGCAAGTTACTTTTCCACCCTGGAATTTTCCAACCATACTTGGAAGTACAGTATGAAAAAAAAACAGAGAAAAGGTGGCAGGTCCAAGGCCTCATCTCCTGGGCTCACTCCAACCTCTGGATTCTGGGGACAGTTTGGAACACCCCAGACCAGGTTTCTCACATCCTGCCTCCTTCTAAGCTGACACAGTATTATGTTCCAGTGTGCTCCTAAGAGCCTGGTCTCAAGCAGCAGCGAGATACCTGCCTGCCTGCCCAGGACCCAGACTCTGCCTGGCCTCCTCAGTTTCCGGAACCTCCTTCCTGGCTTATCCTTACGTGGCCTGAGCTCCTCTGCTGCATCTGCGCACAGCAGGTAGTTTAATGAATGTTTACAGACTAGGTCCCAGCTGCCCTCCGATGAGCTCACTGCTCTCTCAGAACAAGCGAACTGTTCACTTTTCAGCAGACACTGAACAGAGTAGGCCATGCTCACGCAGCAGGGCTGGGCTATGGGGGGCAGGGGAGGGTCTCTGAGGGTGGAGGCTCAGGGCAGGGCTTCCTTAACTGCCACTGCCTGTGACGAGCCACTTTCTCCAGTAATCCAGTAACACTCCAGAGAGAGGTGCCTGATAAAATGCCGACATCTGGCTGCTCGCTAGTTTTAAATGTGCTACTTTGCCACCTGCGGCCACATTACCGCTAACAACTGTCCCAAGAGGCCCTCGTCAGAACCACTCTCCTCGGGCTGTATTCTGCTCAGCTCTCAAGCGCAGAGACCGACTGACTGCAGTGTGCTGTAAACTTCGTCAAGCCGAATGGAGGGGTCCTTCCGTCATGGATGGAGGGGCAAGTGCTTGGCCAGTCCACAGGGCGTGGGAGCACAGGCGCAGCGTCCCAGCCTCACTGGGATGTCGCTGGACACCAGTGCTACTGGCCGCTGGCTGGCACGTGTCCTCCTCCCTGTCCTGAGCTGCCCTCTTCTTTGCTGGCAGCCCACCCTGACGCAGTCCTTCTGCCACCCCTTCCCAGGGCTCGTCCCTGTGGCACCAGGCCACATTCCCAGTCTCTTGTTTCTACTCTGCCCAGTGCTTTTGGTAAAGGCAGGAGCTAATGCTGCCCCCCAAGCGTCCTGCGGCCCCTGGTGTGGAGGTCGGGCCGTGGAAGCCACACTCTGCTCGGGACACGCTCGCCTCTAAGGCTCACCTGAAACAATGGTCAGCATATTAAAAAACCACATGTTTGGATCAGTCACCGCGGGCAAACGTACTGGGATGGTTTCTAAGAGTTTAGGTCCCAACTCGATGGTGAGCAAGTGACGCCTACATGCAGACAGGCCAGGCCACCCCACTTGGGTGCACATTCTCATTAATACAGACCTCTGGCTAGCATTTTTCTTAAAAAATACTAACTTCCCTGTTCCTGAAGAAAAGTCAACCACGTGAAAACCAGAGCTCACCGCCCCCTGCCCCACCGCCTGCCCCACCTCCATCTGGCTGCACTGCTGCCTCTGCAGAGGCTGCGCTGGCCACGCCCGCACCTACCCGGATGCGATTGGACCCCAGCTCCAGCAACTGCAGCTGATGTAAGTTGTTTACATTCTCGATTTTACTGATTTTATTGTTGACCAAGAAGAGTTTTTTTAGTCGTGTCAACTTGTCAATCCCTTCAATGTTTCTCAGTAGATTAAAAGAAATGTCTAGAATCCTGGAACAAGCAAAACATTTATTTTTAACGAGCACAGGCCGCAGAGCTATAACTAACTTAGAGGCGGCAGGCTCATGCGGCTGCCCAGGGAGAGCGGGCACAGCCTACAGGGCCCCCAACACCGGGTTCCCGGCACTGCACGCATGGCAGACGCCATGTCATCCCTGCCCCCGTCAGGTGCCTCCAAGCAAAGCTTTAATCTGCAGGCTGAGACTGCGGGCAAGCCGAGGCCACCTCCGGAGCCAGGTTCCCCCAAGACCGTATGGCAGAGGTGGCCTCCTGAGGGCCGAGCCGGGGCATGGGTTGGTTCTGGGGACACCGGGCAGGCCTGCCGTTGAGTCCCGAGTCTCAGCACTCACTCCAGTTCTGTCAGTGTGTCCAGATTCTCAATCTTCTTGATCTGGTTGTCATAGAGATCCAGCTCTCGGAGGCTGTGCAACTCTTCCAGGTTCTCAATACATTTAATCAGATTCTGACGGAGGCACAGAGTCTGCGGGATGGAAAGGGGACAGTGACTGGGGAGGCCACGGGAAAGCCTTCGGGGAGGACGTGCTTGTCATTCTCCTGTTGTTTTCTAGAGAGGGGCTGACCTTGGCGAGGATGGCAGACCCCACAGGGAGGCTGGCAGCAGGCTGTGCACCGAGCACACCTGCCCGTGAGGGAGGCCTTGCTCAGGTTTGGGGTGTGTGCTGTCTCCTGGCAGAGCGAGCCCTTAGCGGCTCGATCGTGAAGAACAAGTTGAGCTCAGTGAGTTAAGGACCGCCCAGGCTGGTGCGTGTGTAACTGCAGGCAGGCTGGGCACCGGGCACAGTGAGCCGCGGCAGGTCTGAGCCGCGCTCAGGGCCAGCGCCCTCCACCTGGACTGCTCTATCAACCTGCCAATCAAAGTTGCTTGAGGTGGTTCCGGAGGACGGCGGCACCATCTGCAGGACTGTCCCTGACAGAACGGATTCTCAGGTGTGCATTTACCTACATCCTGCGCGTGGGACGGACTCTGGGGTGTTACAACGTCACCGCACGTGAAGGGACAGAGCTCTTCTCACCTTCACTTTCTTCAGAACCTCAAATCCTTCAATTTTCCCAATGCGGTAGTGATTCAGGTCCACATCCTGAAACAGATGAAATCCAGCTCAGTGGGAGCAGGGCCTGGAGACCCGGGTGCCAGCGAGGGAGCTAAAGGCGGCTGCCCGGGGCGGGGGTGGGGGGAGGAACCTGTGAGCTGCAGCAGACAGGTGACAGTGGCACGGAGGTGAGCTTCAAGATGCTCGTTGGTTTAGCTACGATTTATCTATCGTAGTTTTATGTAAACAGACCCTCTAAACTAGTGGCATGTACAGCCTTTCTCTCACCCCCTGGCTCCCTAGAGCACAAAACATAAGCTTGGAGGAGGCACACCTGACCATATCACCACAGGTGGCCCCAGAGTTGGCTATTATGCAACAGATGCGTCTGCCCTTACTGGCAGCCTTTCTCATGCCCTGAATTGTGGGTAATTTCATGGTGCTTTTCATATGGGGCTGTTTCTTTTTTTTTTTAGCTGAGCCATCCTGCCACCTGTTAGCAGCTCAGCGGCAACTCAGCTTGGGCTGGACTCGAACTGCTGTTGCTCAGAGCTCAAACTCTTGCGCGAGCTCTTAACCAACCGAGCCACTCGGCTGACCCACAGATGGGGCTGTTAGGACCCCACCATTTACAACAAAATCATCTGACCCATAGAGCTTATGAGTCACAGGTGTTTCATTTGCTACCATGGTTAAACAGAAATGGGATTTGTCACCAGTATCAAAAACACTAAGAACATAAGGAATTGAACCCAACCAAGGGAGGCTTAGACAACCTCTTCTGGGAGATCACTTACTAATCTGGCACCATCATAAAAGATAACGTGCCAGTCAGAGTGGCCCACCACTACGCCCTGAGGCTGGGTCGGGCAGGCGGCATTACCTCTGCATCTCTGTCCAGGTTAATGGTTTCCATGTCCACAGGCAGCTCTTGTCCTTCTAAAAACATGAGAGGGAGGGAGGGAGGGAGGGAGGGAGAGAGAGAGAGAGAGAGAGAGAGAGAGAGAGAGAAAGACACTCCAATCAGAGCCCCCTGATTCCAGGAGGCAGTGGCCCTGGCATGGGTGAGAGCTGGCACTCAGGCTGCCCAGCTCAGAGAGCTGACTTGAACGTAGAGAAACTGCCAGGTCACATGGAGGACCCAGAGGACACGGAAGGGCTGAACACCCTGTCCAACAATGCTCCTTTTTCAGGCATTCTGAGTTTCCTGAATTCAGCTACCGGCAAAGGTCTCCACACGTCCATGTGCACTGCTGGTGTCCCGAGAAAGGAAACGTCTGAGGCTGATGGCAGACAGGAGTGGGGAGGCAGCCCCCAGCTTCTGGTGATGCCCAGGACTGCGTAACTGGCAGCAGCCCGCCCTCCCAGTTTGTGGCAATAAATCAGGCCATTTGACTATAGATCACACTGGGCACATCAGATGCTGTAGGAGGTGCCTTTTATTGCTTTGGAAAGTGGCCCAGCAGAGGATCGTGGCCTGCTGAATAACTTAAATATGCTTCTCAGCTGGGAGGCCGGGGAGCTGATCCCAGCAAGGCTCCTCTGGCCCGGGGACCAGCCTCACTCCCGGTATATCGAGTGCCGGAGGAAAGCCGCCAGCCCTCTCTCGTTGTGGACTGAACAGCCTCCAATCAGCAGCCCCCCTTGGTCATTTCTTCTGAACTACCGAAGTGTTTGTGTCTAAAACAATTAAACTCTTTAAGAGTGACTGTGATGCCTTTTTTTTTTTTTTAAGATTTTATTGGGGAATTGGGGAACGGGAACAGATAAGTTGTTGTTCTTTTGTTCTTCAGTCTAGTTGTGGAGGACGTCGCTTCACTGGCCCATGTTGGTATTATCATTGCCCTCTTCACGGGTGAGGCAGTTACTTCCCGGCCACTGGACGGCTGCTCACGGCAGCTCACACCAGTTGCTCACGCTGGCTGCCAGGCATTCACAGTAGCTCACGGCAGTGGACAGCCCACTGCAGCAGGGACTGGAGCCTATAACGCTGCCAGCGATTCATGGCAGCCCAGCTCCAGGTCGAGCTGCTGTTCACCATCTTAGCTGCAGAGGGCGCAGCGTCACTGGCCCTCATGTGGGATCCGAACCGGGGTCCTGCTGCTCAGAGCTGGCGTCCCAAGCCAATGCTTAACCAATGCGCCACTCGGTCGGCCGACTGTGACTCCTTGATTTCACCAACTGCCTTATGATTTATTCTCTCAGTCTGCTTGAATTAGGCTCTGAATCAGGCTGTCTTTGATGGCTGGATGGTATTTCTTTAAAGGCCCTGTTTGCTCTTGCGAGTTTTGGTTGAAGCCGGGCCACCTGTCTCGCAGTGCTTCTCCCAGCGCGCAGGTCTGCTGCCTCTCCTCTATCTCATTAAAGAGGCTGTTATCATTTTGCTGGCCCCTGCTGCTGTCTCTTCCCTACGGCAAAACCGTGTGTGCCTGCAGTGTAGTGGGCTTGTACCCAGCCTCCCAAGGGCTAGCGGCCTGTGCACTGGCCCTGGACTGGAGTCCTCAGAGGGGCACACTGGACACAGGACCAGCTTAATCAGGAAGTCGTGGCCCCACACTGACTGAATTCACTCCATAATGTTTTCATTATTCCTTTTCCAAAACAATTAACAGTGGCTATTTAAAAAACAATGTCATTTACTGTATAGTTTATCCATAACTTTATAGGATATCAACCAACCTAAGAATTAAATAAAAGGAGCTGGGCAAAACCCAGAGGTATACCCAAATTATCTGCCCCCTCCCCGAAAGACAGCATAAATTCAACATCATGAACACAGGAAGCTGCAATGACAGAGGCGCTACAATGAAGGCAGGGCGCCCAGGTCACTTAGTGTCCAAACCAACACACTTGGAGGGTAAAAAGGGGCACTACAGACAATCACACTGGGCCAGCAGATGGAAACGGGCTGTCCCAGGCTCTTCAGGACACGTGGTCACATGTCTGTAATACATCCAGCACAGGACAGGGCCCCCCACCCCTACTTCGAGAAGCTTAACTTTGAAACAAAGTTACCAACCTAGAACACTTTCCTAAATGTATTATGTATTGATCATATTTTTTTGATGTTAGGGAAAATAAACGAAAGGTCAGTTGACATGTTTGAATTTGTTTTACTTAAATTTAAGGCTTAAATAAATACATGTAGGAGCCAATCCTGTCTTTTTAAGGACTTTCAAGAATGTATATTCCCAGGCAAGTCCTAATCAGCTAGGAGTCTGGAGTTGGATAAGCCGGGTTCTAGTGCAGCTGTTCTACTGTGTAGCCGTGCACCTCTGGGTGAGGCGCAGCCAGCCTGTGCTCAGGAGTCAGGTGGGAGAAGCCCAGCACAGGGCTCCGGCATCTCTCCAGTCCCTCCACACGCACCAGGGGTTAGGACAGGTGACGCTCCCACCCTCCTGGCTCCCTGGGACTAAGTTAGACAGTAATGAAAGCTTCCATCTTTCACTCCTTGTACTTATCCCGCCCACATCACCTCCGGAATATCGACTCTCAAGTTCCAAAATGTGATGGGTGCTTTTGTGGTAATCTCCTTTGCCTTAAAATTAAGTTTCCATAGTTACCAATCATCTTCGCTGGCACAGAGAGCACAATGTTATTTTAAAAATTATTTTTTTTATAAATTTGTTATTATTAGAATGGTAATGTATGATTACTACCTTAAAGATCCATATATCGCATATAAATCTAGGAAATGCAGAAGGTACAGACCCTTATCAACTTGCTGTTCAGATACCCTCAACAACAGTTTGATGTATTTTTCTCTTAAGTAGGTAAAACCACATATTATTAATATGCTTTAAATAAAAATAAGATTTTAGCATGCATACTGTTTGGAAATTTGCTTTTTTCACCTAATAATATACCTGGACATCTTTCTGTCTGTTCATCTGGTTTCTACTCTCATTGTTTTCAATATAAGTTGATTTTCTAAGCAAACAAACAGGTTTAGATCATGGTTAGGGAGTGTGAAAAACTACCAATACGGGCTGAGGACTTACTTTTCTCTAAATTCCTTTTGTTGTTGTTCACTAAAAGAGGCCATTGGGACATTTTCTACACAAAATGACTTCCCTACCATCTAGCGATTAAGAAGTCCATTCTCAGGCCTATGAAATGGTGAAGAAGGGCTCAGAGCTGACTTCTCTAAGACACTGAAAGTGCTGTTCTGAAAGCAGGCTGTTCCCACGGTAGGAGATAAAAGCAGAGTGGTTAGCCATAATGTTTATTTCAAATCTCACTTTCTGAGCATATGGTTAATACATCAATTTCTGGGTTCTGTCCCAGGCGACACACTAGTACCACTATTATCAGTACAAATTAGAACAAAACCACATCCTGCCTGCAAGTGCCATTATGCCCACTGGCTGAGGGAGTGCTAAGGCTCAGGTCCACCAGCCCCAGCCTGCAGAAAGCCTGGACGCGGTGGCAGCAGACAAAGCCCCGGAGCCCAGGGAGCTCCCCAGGACCGACACAGGCCGCCACCTGGGCAATCGGTGCCACACTGCCCTCACCACCCCATTCAGCGAGCTCCAGGTTCGTAACTGGGCTGGTACCTTGTGGGTCCTCCTCCCCATGCTCCGCTCCGTCCTTTAGGCTGTGCTCGCTGAGGTCTGCCACGACGCCGCTGCTCTGCTTCCTCCCTTCTTCATCGCCGGAGTCTTCAGACTCGACCCGCCTGTCAACTGAACCCACACAGATCAGTAAGAATTCCCATCTGCTTCACATGACTCTTTGCAGAACATGTAACAGACTGACATCCAGCTGTAAGTCACAAACACTTCCCTCAAAAATGCACTGAGTTCAGCTCAATGAGTATCTGTGTGTCTTCCAGGTCCCAGGCACTGGCCGAGGTGTAGTGGCAGGTGGGCTGGGGGCGGGCTGGGGTGGGGCGGAGCAGGGAGGCACATACCAGGAGGTGAGAATCATACTATTCCTGCCCTCAAGGGCCTTGTGAAGAGTCGCCAGGTGTTCTGAAAGCCCTGGGGTGTTGTCATTAAACATACTAATGCTGACATGTAGAAAAGCCTGCGTATCACGTAGAGGGGACCATCGTGACCCTCCCGCCACATACCTTCATCCATGCTCCACTATCCATTTGGCCAAGAAAACCAGCCCAGTTCACAGGCCCACGTTCTGAAAGAAATTAAGACTAACTCAAATCAGACTGTGGGTGGGGAGAGCTCTAACGAGAAAGGAGAGACAGCCAATAGTGCTAAACGCCCCACGAGAAGGTCTCCATGCTGACATCAGGACTTAGTGATGCCAGCTCAAAGCTCTGAAAGGCTGGTAAATAATTTTGTTTGAATTAATAAATAAGGCAATGATAAAATGTGGCAGACTGATAAAAATTCATTGGCAAAATTGTCAGGTAATTTTCCTTTCTCCTAACTTTTTTCATGACCTCTTTTGGAAGTCTGTCTGGAAGCCCTCAGGCACTAACAGCTTCCTTGACTCCTGACTAGAGCTTACCTACACAGGGGTGTGCTCTTTGAGAGGAACAAGTTCTAGTTCCAATTTCTACCCCCACTGGGCCTAGTAAGGAAGCACCCAGGAAAGGACTGCTGGACAAAACATGTCCTTATGAAATCCACCTCCTCAACCTCCAAATCCATTCCTTCTTCCCTGCCCCCAGCAACTGCCTTGGTTCAGCTACTCCTCACCTGTGCCCTGGGCTTCTGCTGGGCCTCCTAACTGGTCTCTCTGGGGCTTGTCTGGCCCTGGCTAATCTATTCTCCATTGCCAGAGTCTGATCTGATTCTAAAACCCAAATCTGATCTGCGACTCCAAAAATTTCTGGAATGCCAATGGCTCTTCCTGATTTTGCATCTTGCCCCTAGAAACACAGCCTTGGCGGTTACCTCCTTTTCCAAGCCCCAGGCTCCAAATCTGCAGAAGGGGGCTGGTATAGTAACTATATCTCAGAGCTGCTGTCAGGACTAAATTAGATATGGCACAAAAGCAGTTAGCTTTTAGTAAGTAAAAGCGGTATACAGTTAATTCATTAGTTACAGGAACCCCTACTTTTCAAAAGTTCACTTCACACCACTTCATTTTTAAGACTTACATTACTACCGTTTTCGCTAATGAAAGAATCTGAAGAGGATTTTAGCTTTTACAAAAAAACACGAAAAGTGAAAATGGCATTGTTTTGTTTTGCAGGGAGCCTTAACAGAGGCAGCACACACCCCAGTGAGTGGCACCGCTAGGCTCCTCCCAGGGTGCCTCTGAACTGTATCTGTGAGCATCTAAGCTTTATCTCGATTTTGTGCATATGTCAGCAAGTTGTGCCCTAAGGTAACTGCTTCTTTGCTTTACGCTCTACTTTTAGATAGCAACAAAAACCTGCCCTGCCTTACCAGGCACTCTGTGGTCAAGGCTAAGAGAAAGTTCTACTGGGTTATGGACGTGGTTCAGCCCAGGGCAGGAGGGGCTTAGCTAATGAAGGGCAGCCAACATGAAACCTGGGACTCTATCCTGAGGGTTGCAGAGTCTGCGGCATGTGACAGAGGATCACCATATGAGGCGCTGGGGCCAATGGGCTGGCTCAAGTATTGGCAGTGGGAATGGAAGAGGTTTGGAAATGTGGAGATTTTAAGGAAGTGGAGGCATCAGAGCTTGATGATTAATGGATGGGGGGATCCAGAGAGAGAAATGCCTGGGTTTTGTGTTTGCCATTTACTAAGGCATGGAAGTGGTTGGGGGGTGAGGAAGAGAAAAGGGGGATAGAAAGAGGCACTTGGTTGCTTAAAAGATCCAAGGGTTTCAAAGTCCAAGACTTTTCAAATGCTTCCTCCCACCTCCTCTTGCCAGCTTCACTGGCACTCTCCACCCTCATCCAAAATGACTGTCACGTTGGTCAAACTCTCCTCGGAACAGGTCCCGGTCTGTCACAGCCCTTTGTGACCCTGTGGTTTCCTTCCCCTGAAATGACCTTTGATTTTTCCCCCACCCCCAACCTGGCCGAACCTTTAAGGTTCAACTTGGAGCTGGCTTTTTGTGCAGCCTTCACTTCCACGTATGCCAGCTCTTCCTTTACCGCTCCCCCTTTCTGCTTCCTTCCCACCTAGTGTTTGCTCTTCTGCAGCTCTGTGTCCCCCACGAAACCAGCGGAGCCGAGAGCATATCACTATTCAGATATACCTGACTCTCCAAATGAGTGTGTGTGTATTTAATTGTATGCACATACATGCATACAATTTTTTTCAACAAAGTGAAAGAGTGGAATTTAGCCCTTTCCTAACTGGGATAACTTAGCGAACAGGCACCTGCTGTTCTATAACAATCTCTCGACTCCCTGTCGCCCCTTGTCCACAACCCTTTCGCTTTCGAGAGGACCCTTCTCCGCTGCCGCCACGCTCACTAATGAGCCAGCTCGGGCAGGTCCCACGGCGCCCCCGCGCCCTAGTTTCCTTGTTAGTCGTTCGGGGACCGACCCCGAGGGTCAGGTTCAGAGGTTCAGAGCGAGAATCCAACCAGCAGGTGAACGCCCGCGCGGCGGGACTACGGCGCCGTCAGTCCCCGCCCGGCCGGCCGG